GAAAGCTGTTCTATGCTAGTTTTTAGTAGATTAACAAAGCTGCATACTCAGTTTTCAAATTTAAAAAATTCAATTTGTTGTCAAATTTTGGCAATTTTAATGATGTAACCCCTTATAAAATTTTCAATTTTCGGAAAATGCCAAAATTTATTTTTCGACCGGACAAGGCTAGAACGATTGGGCTGTTGATGCTGATCAAGAATATATATGGTTTATAGGGTCGGAATGACTCCTTCACTGCGTTTTAATCTCTGACTGAAGCTATAATCTTCAAAAAGGTATAAAAACAGCAATTTTCTTAAATAATCTGAGTTTCCAACACCATAATTAGCCAAAATAGCATTAATTTTGAATCGGAAAGCTTTTCTGTGCAAGTTTTTATAGCACTAACAAATCTGCATACTGCGTTTGTTGATGCTGTTATAAGTTTCTGACTTAAACTATAAAACCCGCAAAAGGTATAAAAACACACAATTTTTTCCAAAAATCATAGTTTAAAAACTCATAACTAAGCCAAAAATCATTAATTTTAATTCGGAAAGCTGTTCTATGCTAGTTTTTAGTAGATTACAAAGCTGCATACTCAGTTTTCAAATTTAAAAAATTTGTTGTCAAATTTGGCAATTTTAATTAAGTAACCCCTTATAAATTTTCAATTTTCGGAAAATGCCAAAAATTTATTTTTCGACCGGACAAGGCTAGAACGATTGGGCTGTTGATGCTGATCAAGAATATATATGGTTTATAGGGTCGGAAATGACTCCTTCACTGCGTTTTAATCTTCTGACTGAAGCTATAATCTGCAAAAAGGTATAAAAACAGGCAATTTTCTTAATAATCTGAGTTTTCCAACACCATAATTAAGCCAAAATAGCATTTATTTTGAATCGGAAAGCTTTTCTGTGCAAGTTTTTATATCACTAACAAATCTGCATACTGCGTTTGTTGATGCTGTTATAAGTTTCTGACTTAAATATAAAAACCGCAAAAAGGTATAAAACAGACAATTTTCCAAAAATCATAGTTTAAAAAACTCATAACTAAGCCAAAAAATCATTATTTTAATTCGGAAGTGTTCTATATAACAATTCTCTGCGTTTGTGTGCTTTTAGTTTTGATTAACTATAAAACCGAAAAAGGTATAACACACATTTTCCAAATCATAGTTTAAAAAACTCATAACTAAGCCAAAAAATCATTAATTTTATTCGGAAAGCTGTTCTATGCTAGTTTTTAGTAGATTAACAAGCTGCATACTCAGTTTTCAAATTTAAAAATCAATTTGTTGTCAATTTTGGCAATTTTAATTAAGTAACCCTTATAAATTTTCAATTTTCGGAAAAATGCCAAATTTATTTTTCGACCGACAAGGCTAGAACGATTGGGCTGTTGATGCTGATCAGAATATATATGGTTTATAGGGTCGGAAATGATCCTTCACTGCGTTTTAATCTTCTGACTGAAGCTATAATCTGCAAAAAGGTATAAAAACAGGCAATTTTCTTAAATAATCTGAGTTTTCCAAACACCACTAATTAAGCCAAAATAGCATTTATTTTGAATCGGAAAGCTTTTCTGTGCAAGTTTTTATATCACTAACAAATCTACTGCGTTTGTTGAGCTGTTATAAGTTTCTGACTTAAATTATAAAACCCGCAAAAGGTATAAAAGACATTTTCAATCAAGTTTAAAAATAACTAGCCAAAAATCATTATTATTCGAGCTAACTAAATTGCTACTGCGTTGTGATGCGTTATAAGTTTTGACTTAAACTATAAAACCGCAAAAGGTATAAAAACACAATTTTTCCCAAAATCATAGTTTAAAAAACTCATAACTAAGCCAAAAATCATTAATTTTAATTCGGAAAGCTGTTCTATGCTAGTTTTAGTAGATTAACAAGCTGCATACTCAGTTTTCAAATTTAAAAATTCATTTGTTGTCAAATTTGGCAATTTTAATGATGTAACCCTTATAAATTTTCAATTTTCGGAAAATGCCAAAAATTTATTTTTCGACGGACAAGCTAGACGATTGGGCTGTTGATGCTGATCAAGAATATATATGGTTTATAGGGTCGGAAATGACTCCTTCACTGCGTTTTAATCTTCTGACTGAAGCTATAATCTGCAAAAAGGTATAAAAACAAGCAATTTTCTTAAATAATCTGAGTTTTCCAAACATCATAATTAAGCCAAAATAGCATTAATTTTGAATCGGAAAGCTTTTCTGTGCCAGTTTTTATAGCACTAACAAATCTGCATACTGCGTTTGTTGATGCTGTTATAAGTTTCTGACTTAAATTATAAAAACCCGCAAAAGGTATAAAAACAGACAATTTTTCCCAAAATCATAGTTTAAAAAACTCATAACTAAGCCAAAAATCATTAATTTTAATTCGGAAAGCTGTTCTATGCTAGTTTTTAGTAGATTAACAAAGCTGCATACTCAGTTTTCAAATTTAAAAAATTCAATTGTTGTCAAAATTTGGCAATTTTAATGATGTAACCCCTTATAAAATTTTCAATTTTCGGAAAATGCCAAAATTTATTTTTCGACCGGACAAGGCTAGAACGATTGGGCTGTTGATGCTGATCAAGAATTATATGGTTATGGGTCGGAAATGACTCCTTCACTGCGTTTTAATCTTCTGATGAAGCTATAATCTGCAAAAGGTATAAAAAGCAATTTCTTAAATAATCTGAGTTTTCCAAACATCATAATTAAGCAAAATAGCATTAATTTTGAATTGGAAAGCTTTCTGTGCCAGTTTTATAGCATAACAATCTGCATACTGCGTTTGTTGATGCTTTATAGTTTCTGGCTTAATTATAAAAACCGCAAAAAGGTATAAAACAGACAATTTTTCCCAAAAATCATAGTTTAAAAACTCATAACTAAGCCAAAAATCATAATGTAATTCGGAAGCTGTTCTATGCAGTTTTAGTAGATAACAAAGTGCATACTCAGTTTTCAAATTAAAAAATCAATTTTTGTCAAATTTGGCAATTTTAATGAGCTATAATCTGCAAAAGGTATAAAAACAGGCAATTTTCTTAAATAATCTGAGTTTTCCAAACATCATAATTAAGCCAAAATAGCATTAATTTTGATCGGAAGCTTTTCTGTGCCAGTTTTAATAGCACTAACAAATCTGCATACTGCGTTTGTTGATGCTGTTATAAGTTTCTGACTGATCAAGAATATATATGGTTTATAGGGTCGGAAATGACTCCTTCACTGCGTTTTAATCTTCTGACTGAAGCTATAATCTGCAAAAAGGTATAAAAACAGGCAATTTTCTTAAATAATCTGAGTTTTCCAAACACCATAATTAAGCCAAAATAGCATTAATTTTGAATCGGAAAGCTTTTCTGTGCAAGTTTTTATAGCACTAACAAATCTGCTACTGCGTTTGTTGATGCTGTTATAAGTTTCTGACTTAAATTATAAAAACCCGCAAAAGGTATAAAAACAGACAATTTTTCCCAAAAATCATAGTTTAAAAAACTCATAACTAAGCCAAAAAATCATTAATTTTAATTCGGAAAGCTGTTCTGCTAGTTTTTAGTAGATTAACAAAGCTGCATACTCAGTTTTCAATTTAAAAAATTCAATTTGTTGTCAAATTTTGGCAATTTTAATGATGTAACCCTTATAAAATTTTCAATTTTCGGAAAATGCCAAAAATTTATTTTTCGACCGGACAAGGCTAGAACGATTGGGCTGTTGATGCTGATCAAGAATATATATAGTTTATAGGGTCGGAAATGACTCCTTCACTGCGTTTTAATCTTCTGACTGAAGCTATAATCTGCAAAAGGTATGAAAACAGGCAATTTTCTGAAATAATCTGAGTTTTCCAAACATCATAATTAAGCCAAAATAGCATTAATTTTGAATCGGAAAATTATAAAATTTTCAATTTTCGGAAAAATGCCAAAAATTTATTTTTCGACCGGACAAGGCTAGAACGATTGGGCTGTTGATGCTGATCAAGAATATATATGGTTTATAGGGTCGGAAATGACTCCTTCACTGCGTTTTAATCTTCTGACTGAAGCTATAATCTGCAAAAAGGTATAAAAACAGGCAATTTTCTTAAATAATCTGAGTTTTCCAAACATCATAATTAAGCCAAAATAGCATTAATTTTGAATCGGAAAGCTTTTCTGTGCCAGTTTTTATAGCACTAACAAATCTGCATACTGCGTTTGTTGATGCTGTTATAAGTTTCTGACTTAAATTATAAAAACCCGCAAAAAGGTATAAAAACAGACAATTTTTCCCAAAAATCATAGTTTAAAAAACTCATAACTAAGCCAAAAAATCATTAATTTTAATTCGGAAAGCTGTTCTATGCTAGTTTTTAGTAGATTAACAAAGCTGCATACTCAGTTTTCAAATTTAAAAAATTTGTTGTCAAATTTTGGCAATTTTAATGTTGTAACCCCTTATAAAATTTTCAATTTTCGGAAAAATGCCAAAAATTTATTTTTCGACCGGACAAGGCTAGAACGATTGGGCTGTTGATGCTGATCAAGAATATATATGGTTTATAGGGTCGGAAATGACTCCTTCACTGCGTTTTAATCTTCTGACTGAAGCACTTTTCTTTAAGGTGAAATACCATTTTTTAGTCGATATTAAAAATATTTTTATATGCAAATTTTAATAGAAATCAAAATTTAAAAAGCTCATAACTAAGCCAAAAATGCATTAGTTTTAATTCGGAAAGCGTTCGTATGTTCATTATTAGCAGGTTAATATAACAATTTAAAATGTGAATTTTGGCCGATTTTTCAACATTTTAATGATGTTAAAATTAGCATAAGCGCTTTCCGAATTGAAATTAATCAATTTTTGGCATAGGTATGTGTTTTAAATTTACATGTATTACAAAATTAATAAGCTAATATCTAATAGGTTTGCTTTAAGACATTAGTTGCAGTTTATATATGTATATTTCAACTATCCATTGAAATCATAATAAATTAATATTAAATTGCTAAATTCATTTTAATGAAGGAAAATGAAGGGTATTATGATGATGAAATTAGCACAATTTGAGGAAATAAATTTTTCCAAGACTTGATAAAAGCCAAAACTCTACAGGGCGAATTTCTCAGTGCACTCGTTAATAGGCCGGGTTATCAAATATTTTTTCTTGAACGTCTTGGTGGGATCCCCGTCCTCATTCCACAGGGTAACAGCCGTAGTGCAGTAGAGCGGGTACTTTTGGATCAGAACCTCCTCGGCCTCCTCGTCCTTTGGCGCCACATCCTTGCAGAACTGGTCGTAGTACTCCGTACGGTCCTCGGTCACATCCACTGCAGCCGATGCCTGGCGATTGTACTCGGCAAAGAGCTCTTGCCACAGGAACTGCTCCATTCGGTTGGCTCTGGTGGCTGGAATATCCGTAAAGCTATCAATATTATCCTGGTTAAGTTGGACTAAGAACTTACGCAGGATTTTTTTGATTTTGGGCGGGCCAAAGCTGGTCTGCGATTCGGTGAGTTCCGTGGAACACGGTCCCACTGGGAGGACAAAGTTATTACCGCGATCGACCATTATTAATAGCAATTTTTCGGTGTTAATACTAGGATAAATAATTTATTCGTTTGCCAGCAATACGACTGACAGCCAGGTGACACCTTCGATCCAACAAAACAACTACGACAGTAATTGCTAGGCAACGGCATGCTCGTTTGGATTTGGCTCGGGATCTGAAACTGCTGGAGCCTCGTCCTCCACTATGAGGGCAACCTCTTTCGGTTTCAGAATCCAATAGTAGACTATAAGCGTGACCAGGAAGAGGACTCCGCTGTACACGATCCACTCCCAGATGAAGCCGATCCACCAGGACTCCCACTCCTCGTTCACGAACCAAATGCTCGACACGGTAATGTTCTCTACCATGGTTAGCACCAAGTAACCACCGTACCAGAGCCGAATACTCTTGAAGCTCACCCGGAACTCCATCAACACAAAGATATATATGTAGGCCAGGAGCAGGAGGAATAGAGTGCGGCTCCAACTGCCTCGACAACGTGTTTCCAGGGCCAGGCAGGCCAGCATAAGGGCGTAGTGAACACCAACCAGGATGAAGAAGGCACGCGGATAGAACACACAAAAAGTGGACAGCGCCAGCATCCGCATGGTGATGAAGGCGACCCAACCGAAGAAGGACACTGTTTTGCCCGCAAAGTCATCCTGCTGGATACCATTCACTATCTTTGTGGGCCGCGGAAAGTAAAAGTCCACCACATCCTTTGGCGTCAGCGGAGACGGTGCCTTGGGTGTCTGTGGAATCAGAATGCTCTGATCATCCGTCGCATCCTCGCTCACTTTTCCCAGTAGAAGCTTTGGCGGATGGGGGACATTTTGCTTGATGTAGAGCTGAGCGTTGACCAGAAGCATGTCCCTAAAGGTTTCCAACTGGGAGAGAGGTCTGGTGACTCGACGACTCCTCATGGTATCCTTATCTGACATGGTTCTCCGCAGGTCGGGAGTCGGGGGATCATCTTCGCTGGGCTGCAGCAAAGGCAGCTGAGGCGGTGCTGTTTTTGGCGGTGGCGGTGGTGCCGGTGTCTCGGGAACGCTGTCCAGTACCTCGATGGTATTCAAATCCCCCAGGTCCTCGTAACGCACCTTCAGCTTGGGTCTCGTCCCCTGAATCTTCTCCTCATCGGTGGCGTTGTCACGGGGCCCGGAATGCAAAAGGGCTCGCGTTTCCATCTGCTCCAAGGCGTCGTTGTCCACCTCGTCCTCCCCCTGGAAGTGCAACTCGTGTGAGGCTTCACCCGGGTTAAAGAGTGACGTTCGCGATCGGAAGTTCTCCATGATCTTATCCGATTCAGGGAAGCTGGTTATGGTGCGCTCGGACTCGCGTTTCCTCCGCGCAGCTTCGCAGCAAAGGCGCTCGTTCTGCTCCAGCTGACAGCGATGGGTCTCCACTTGCTGGGGCGTGGCCCAAGGGTAGTGGCGTCCGACCCGCCGCTGGCTCTCAATGCGATGATAGCTGGTGGTCACAGCTGCCAAGTCAATGGCGGAGAATACCAGGGATAAAGCCTGGACAGCAGCTGCAAAAAGGGGGTTTCATTTAGAAAGACTAAAGAATCCAATGAGTGTAGAACTTACAGGTCTCATAGTTCCGGAACATATCCTGGGCGAGCATGTGGTACAGCTGCAGGATGATCTGAGGAGCTGCCTGGGCGTAGGCCTGAATGAACAGGTACAGTTCGATATTGGAGGTTTCTTCCGCCTTGGCCAAACACTTCATACGCTCCACATCGTCGTCGTCGTGGAAGAGTCCCTCGATGGCCCAGAACAGGCGCGTACAAAACCTAATCGATGAGAGTTATCAGACTTGACACTGACCCGCAGCGCTGCGACTCACCTGAACACCACGAAGAATGGGAATAGCAGCAGCTTAACCAGTCCAAGGGCAAGGGCAGTGCACCTATTTCTATTCGTGCAGGCGCAGTTCCGTTGCGCCCTAGAAGCCACCACCAGAAGGAAGGTGATCAGCGGAGGAAGGATCACCAGGACCAAAGTGCCGGCTCCAAAGCCCGGTTCCTTCTCTCTGAAATGCTGGTAGCTCAGGGCCAAGTCCGACGCAGTCTGGGCAATATAAACGAGCAGTCCTAGGCAGGCGGGCAGTATATAGGAGACCCATATCCGTGTCCTACTCCGAATGGCGTAGCCGAGTATGTGAGGCGGTGGACTGGCGGCATGAGCCACCTGCCCCTCCATGTCTATGATGATGCCACTTCACTTTGGTTTTAAGGGAGAAATAAACTCCGTTTTCACATCTGTAGCTTGCGAAATTCGTCGTAAAACTGAACCACTATGAGTAACCGTCTCTCTCTTGGGAACCACTATCAGTGCGTGAGATTAGATAAAAGTGAGCCAAACACATTTTTCGAGGTGAAAAACCGCGGTTTGTTTACGTTTTTGCGGCATGAATGAGAGAGTCACAGATAAAATTATAGTGAAGCATGCTAGCTAATAGGATTTAAAATTAAATTAAAATTTATTAGAGTTGATAATGTTTTATGGAATTTAATTTAAGTTCAAATGCACTTAACTCTGCACAGCACCCAATAATAATTCAAAACCTTTAAAGTCAACAAATGGGCGTTGCCTGATCAGGTTTATAAGACTCACTTCTATTAGTTTTGCATTTATTTACTTTTACAATAGACACATTTAAAACAGAATACTACGGTTCAGAGGTGTAGATGCATTGGACCTAGGAGTCATACCAGGTCTTCTTCATCCAGTTGGAAGGCTTGCACGGCTCATCGAGGACCACAAAGGATCCGCCTGGCTGCTGCTGCTGCTGCTGGGGGTGCTTCGACCGGCGACAGCCCACGGCGTACTTGGGATTCCCCTCAATGATCGACGAGTTGTCGCGGCAGTTGGAGGCATTCTGCAGGACGGATGCCCTTCGACCATATCTGGCTGGCTTCTTGGCCGTATTACCGCCCACGTCCTCGAAGTGGGCGGCCACCGCCGGCTGCACTGGCTCCTTGATCTGCCCGCGCTGACGCGGCGTTCTCCGCTTGTGCGGAACCTGAGGCTGTCGTGCCTCCAATGAGGAATCCGAGCTCTTGCGCAGGCTACCACCAGGCATTCCAGATGGACCTGCGTCCAACTCCCGTGGACGCTCTCTGAGCTGATAGTTGTACTGGGCGCGTCGGTACTCCGGCGTGGCAGTGACCTCCGATGGAGGAACGGTCACCAATACGGGCGTCTCCAGATCCTGATCCGCCTGATGATGGTGCTGGACGGAGGGGGCGTGATTCACGCCCGAGGTGGGTAGCCGGAAGCAGGAGGTGGGCTTCTGGACGACGGGACGGGAGCGCGGAAAGTCCTGGTAGTTGTTACGATACTCCGGATTAAATTCAATCTTGCCGCGCAGCCGAAGGAAGGGCTCCCGGGGCTTGCCGCGCTCCGGCATCTCGGTAATGTGCGGGTCTCGGAAGCTCTCGTGGTACTCGGGAATCTCTTTGGTGAACTCCCCGCGCGGACGCAGGTGGTCGTCCGTCTTGAGGGACTTCTCTTTGGCCACGTGCTTGGGTGGGTCGATGAATTTGTCGCGATACTCCGGCACCTCGGGACTGGGCTCACAGGCGCCCTCGGAGCCGGACACGCGCAGGTTGTCGTCCTTCTTGATCGGAGCACTCTTCGAGTAGTTGGCGTACATCCGGAAGCTGTCCCGGTACTCGGGCACGGCCACAAACTCTCCCTGAATCTTGATGCTGCTCATCTGTGGGATGGAGTGCGCCTTCTCGGGGAACTGCTGGACAAACTGACGGCGGTACTCGGATGGCTCTGGCTGCTGGCCCTGCTGCTCACGGTCCGCGGCCTGGGCCCGCATCTGCAGGTGGCATCGCTGCTGCTCCTGGGCGGCCACATCGCGGCGGAACTTGTCTGCGGCCAGCTTGCCGGTGGGCTGGTGATTCCTAGACGCCAGCTCTGACTCGTCGAGGAAAACCTCACGAGGCAGTATCTTGGCGCTTGGATCCACCATGGGAGCCATGAGAAACGAGGAGTTCTTCATGCCATTGGCGCCACTGGTGGCCTCTCCGCTTGCTCCGCCGCCGTTGCCCAACTGCAGGTTCTCCGGATTGCGGACCGGAAAGGTGCGGGAGCTGAGGAAGGATATTGATTATTTTTGATGATGTAGAACTTTGTTAGAAAGAGGTAATTTACTCACAATTGCAGATCCTCGGGCGTGTACCAGTGGTATTTCTCCTGGTGCTCCGACAGCAACTGCATTAATCCCTCCAAACGCAGCGACGTCGCTCTCCTCAGCAGGGATCTGGGACGGGTTTGCGGGCCTTGGCCACGGAAGTGCTTGCGATACTCGCTTTTCAGGGATCCAAAGCTGACCACCGGCTCGTCGCTGTTGTACAGACAGACGTTGCTTCGCGTGTGCAGCTGGACGGGCTGGCGGCGACGGAAGTACTTGAGGTCATCAACGGCTATATACTCGTGCGGATGCTTGATGGCGAACCGGCTGAGGTCGCCCTGATTCTTCTGGTGGTTGGCTGTGAGATCCGGCTCGGAGAAGGAGCGATTCCAGCCGAAGTCGGCATCAAAGCTGCGGTTAGCAGAGAAGGATGAGGAGCTGGGTTAGAGGGCAACCGATTCGTCTAGTCTTTGGCTGCAAACTGAGTGTAAAAGTTACGGGTATCGCTGGTGGTGGTCGTCGCCACCACGACCAAATAACAGGTAGGTTCCTTAATAATGGGGTCCTCCCTCCCCAGTTGTTGCCGTTGGGAGCCTTCCAGGCTGCCTTGGACTTGGTGGGCAAGCCACCAAAGGCATTTTGCCCCCTTTCCACTTCCACCTCCATTTGCCAGCCATGGCGTGCCATGGCAATGTTGCTAGGCACACTCACAGACATTGGTAAACAAACTAATGAATATGGCAAAGGGATAAAATTGCTGCAAATTAGAAAATTGTCTTTCGGCTTCGATGGGAGCAGTCGATGGGTAAAGACAGGGCTGGTCAGAGGTGGGTTCATTACAAGGCCTTACTCTATTTATAAAATATAAATGAACTAATCACAGAAATTTCTAAAGATTTAAAGATGTTTTCATAAGTTGAATAAAATCATTTATCATTATAGTTATATTTCCCTCATTCTTATGCCCGAATCTCCTCCGATCTGCTCCTGTTTATATGTGAACCCACCCACCCGCCTTACAAATCGATGCCAATCAATAGCTCACAGTGTCTCCGGTCCGTCTTCGTCTTCTGCTCCCACCTTTGTTAGTCCTGACAACGACTCAGGGTCCTTGGCAATATCCATATCCGGAAATGAGTTTTTTGTTGAGGCATTGCCAAGGACTCATGTAGGACTCGCAGCGGGCCATTAAAAATGCACAAGGATTGCCCGTCGTCAAAGCTGAACCTGCGAGCATGCAAATTGCAAGTCTCCCCTCTTTTGCTTTTATGGCTCATGTACTTCTGGCTAAGCTAAATGTGACCACGAGCACCTGTTGAACGGCTCACCTTTTTCACTTGTATGTACATCGGAATTTCGAGTTCTCACGTGCGGGAAAATGTGTGCCAATGGTTATAATTGATGGCTACCAAAAGGTTTTAGAGTACGCAATCCCCTGGCCAAGGAGTGTGCGTGATTCGCTGGTTGAATCGGAGAATCAGAAACGGAAACAGACAGAAAGAGGTGGGTGAGAGGAGGACCTGACCAAGTTTCTGACCCAATTTCAGCCAAGGAGCTCTGAGAAAGTAAGGGAAACGAGGAGCTCGCTCGGACTAATCCTGACAAATGCCAAATGACCTTTGGCTATTTTTAAAGCAAGCGGAACGTCGCAACCCCATTTAAATATGCTAATCAGTGGGCCAGGACACTCGCATAATTACAGTTGCAGATTTATGACGTTTTAATTGCTGTTACACGGCCCAGTCACGCCACGGGGCGTATACGTAATGCAATAAACAAGAATGCACCATTATGTTAACCGCCAAGCAGACAAGGTCAACCGCAAGCCGGGAATTCGATTAGCTTCAACTGCACCAGCTCTTAAAAAAATATATATATAAAGCAGGCAATGCTAAGTCAGGTATAGCCAAAAGGATATCAGGGATTTCTGATTAAAATGGGAACACACAAGGTGAGACTTTACTGACCTAACAAGAAGAAAACTAACTTACGGAAGCCCACATTTTTTATGTTGGATAGAATCGGAAATTAATAATAACCAAGTGGAAAATATTCTGATATGACAATTTTTTCTACAAATCAAAATTTAAAATACTCATAACTATGTTGAAAAATTCATTAATTTCAATTCGGAAAGTTTTCCTTTGTTCGTTATTATTACGTTAACAAATCTGCATACTCAATTTAAAATTTAAAACACTTAAAATGACTGAAATCATTATACAACTCTTTGAGCAGTTATATTAATCTTTATTTTTAAATGACAATTTTGTCAACAAATCAAAGTTTAAAAAATTCATAACTCAGCCAAAAAAGCACTAATTTTAATTCGGAAAGCTGTCCTATGTAAGTTTTTATCAGGTTAACAAATTTGCATACTCTATTTAAAATGTTAACAAATTCTTATTATTATTATAATTTTTAACTTTTGAAAAATTTGGAAAATGTATATTTCGACTAAACATGGCTAGATCGACTCTCCTGTTAATTCTGATCAAGAATATATATGATTTATAGCTCCTTTACTGCGTTTCAAGCTTCTGGCTAGAAATATAATACCCTGCAAGGGTATACAAAGCGTCAGAAATAGTCCACGTTATGTCCTATTTCCTTGTATCCTTTAGAAAGCAGTATACGTTTCCTTGGATTTAAAGAATAAAGAATACTTTAAGTAAAACAAAATTAGGTCAGATTTTGCGCAGTCCTTTTAGCTGAGATTAGAAAGAAAAAGTCAGTACTTGAACCTTTACTCTCTTATTTTAGTATTCTACTTAGCCCTTTCTTTCTATTTTATTCTTCTACAAAGATAATTATTTCTTCGAGAATATATATTCTCCATTAAATCAAGATCTCTTCCTTAAGACCCTTAACTAGATTTAAGAAAAGCTTTTCAGCAAAAATAAAAACTGGAACAAGTTTAGTTGAAATTAGTCAAGGATATTTATTGAGGGATTCCTTTCACTTTTACTAAATAATAAGGTGCTCAGTGCTCATAAACTGATGGCAACTTTTACCCTATAAGACCGTTTGTATTATTCATTATAAACTTCTTACCCATCGCTGCTTTTCCAGTCGTAGGCAATCGCCATTATTGGGTTTCCTGTTTTCGGGGCTCTGCACACTTTAATTAAACATTAAATGAGTCTGCACTTGTGGAGGGACGGGGCACACACACACACTTGGGACACACACTTGGTCGGCGGCACACACATCCTTGGCCTGTGGCCAGTTCCTGGCCCGAAAGGCGCCATTCAAGCGCAGCTCGCCGAACCACAACTTGACCGCTCAGATCGTAAATCCCAACTGAAAAGGTGGCACCACGGCAGTGTGTGCGACGCCAAGAAGTTAGCCAGTTTTTCGCACGCCAACTTTCCGACACACACACACACACACCATTTCCCTCGGCGCCCTCCAACTCCATTGCGCTTCTGCTCCGTCGACATTTTCCCACGACACGAGGACTGACTTGAGGTGTCACTGCGGGGGGATTACAGCAAAAGCTTGGGCGGTAATGAAAGGATTCCATTTTGGAGCTCTAAAAGCTGTTACATGCAATCGGGCAACGCCTCCTCCTCTTGCTGACGGCTCCTCTCTAGCAGTTGCAGTTGATTTGAATATGAAATGGTGTTTTGATCTGGATTTCGGCTGCAGCTGTCAGAGTTGAGTTGAGTTCCTTAACCCAGTTCGCGGCGTTTTGACGCCTCGCTAATGAAACCAGCCAAAGAGCCGAGCCCATTTCGCCTGATTTACTCGCCTCTTAACGATTTCATTTCGCGACGCGCGCGGTCTCCATCATGATAATAATTTCCTTTCCTGGCACGCAACTCCTCCGGCCGGAGTACAAGTACATGGCTTTCAATTGTCATGAGCAGCGGGTGGCTTCCGGGGCTGCGGACTGCGGACGGCGGACTGTGGATGCCGGTCAAGGGCAAATCAATTCCCCAGCAGCGCCGGAAATGCTGGCTGACAGAGTGTTGTTGTTGGGAATTGGTTTAGATTGAGTGGAAGTTGGCGTCTACTTATTTAGTTTATTGCGTCTACTGCTTTGTTAACTAACGTGTGTGTGGGTGTTGTGCGGGGAGATCTCAGACCTTGGAGAGACCCTCCCAACGATCGGGAACAGTGAGAAAGTATCGGTCCATTGCATCGATGAAGCGCAGCTTGTAGCGCTCGGGATTGACAACTGTGGGATCTTTGCCCTTGCCGCCCAGGATGCCCGAGCCCTTGATGATGGATTCCATCCGTTTATCCAAAGTGAAGGTGCGTATGTAATCTGATATAGAAATTATTCGTTTTAGTATATTACAAGGCTTTATGAACCTCTTCGAGCTCACCTATAATACCAAGAACCAGCAAATTGTTCTTCTTTTCCAAACCCACCAGCATTGAGTAGTCCATGACCTCATTTCGTTCCAGAAAAGAAGAGTCCCGCTGAATGGCATCACGCAGCACGGTTTTGCTATGCGACAGCACATACAGAGGCTTTGACCAGGACACTACGAAAGGATTTTTAAATCAGCATGGGTTAAGCTCAATTGAAATAGTTACTACTCACTTTGCACTAGATTCTCATCTAGGAGTACGATTTCGCCCTGCTGAGTGGTGGGATCCACCAAACGATTCCGCTCGGAACCCTTCAGATCGAATTTCTTTTCGATTTCGCAACCGTAGAACAGATTCTCCATGACCATCACAGACCGTTCCACCGTAGAGCTGGTAAGGATAAGGTTTTAGTAATTTCGTTTGCATAATAGTTAAGAATACCTACTCCTTTGTCTTCACGCTGACTTTAAAGACTCCAAAGATCTTGGCCAGCAGTGTGGGCAGTTGCTGCTGCTGGCAACGGTCTATGTACTCGAAATATTTCGGGGCAAAGGGCTCAAAGATGCTCATGTCCTTGGAGTTCATTTCCTTGAGCACGAATCGGTCATCTTTAAGAAAACGCATAAGTAAAGAGATATCGTTCAGGAAGGTATGGCAACTCACCCAGAGTCTTGGAGAAGCGTGATCCTGATTTACCGCCCCTCGCCTCCCACTGGACACTGTTGCACAGGCTGCGTGCCAGGGCAATCCTAGACTCCTCCTCCAGATCCGTTGCCTCCTCCGATGGGCGTGGACCGCCAACATCGCTCGGCTTGCGCACCAGCTCCATTTCGGAGCCCGTGCGACTCTGTGAGATTCTCAGCTCCTCGCGCATCTTGCTCTTCTCCAGCCGGCGATACAGCGATCTGTCCAGCTTGGGCGGCTTCAAGCTCTTCGCACGCATCGCATCGAACTCGCGGGCAAAGTAGATCTTGCACTGAAACTGACAGCCATTGTCCTGGAAGGCCAAAGTGACATGCGGACTGGGTGGTTGCTTGGTGCGCTCCTTGCTCTTCTCCTCGGATTCGCCGGCGGCGGCGGTGGAAGCACCAGTTTGAGCCGTTGCTGTGGCACCAGTAGCCGCGCTCGTGTTGCTGGAGGTGCGTGAAATACTGGGACTGTCCTCGGCATCGCTCTGGTTCTCCGTCAGAACAATCTTCCGCTTCAGTTGGGGACTTGAGTGGGCAGCCGAAGCGGCGGAGGAGGAAGATGCAACAGCAGCCGCATTGCAATTAAGCTCCACCTCCTCCTTGGCCTTTTGGTACTCCGCTGAGGTCAAGCTGTAGGCAATCACCGAGCTCAGATCGTTCTCGCGGACATGGATGGGAATGCTGCCTGGCGGCAGGGTTAGATGCTCCTGAGCCGAGAAGGGAGACTGCAAGGGATTGACCTGATTCGTCGAAGGCAGCAGCTGGGTGAGAATCTTCCGAATGGACTTCTTATCCGAGTACACGTTCACCGTGGAGGCAAGCAGCTGGTCAATGGAAAACTTCTTCTCCGAAACGGATTGAGCGCTGGCCAGGTTGGTCTCCGTATCCTCGCTTGGAAGCTCCACAGCATCATTCTCCCTTGCCAGACTAGAGCTGACGGATTTGGAGGCATCGGGAACACCGGAAACACTCGAATCCGCCCTCAATTCCTCTGTGCATATGGTTCCCGAGTCGATGTGATGCGCCTGCTTGGCGGACAGCTTCTCGATTTCCTGCAGCCTCGGTCCCCACAGCTCAATACTCTCTGCCAGAGCCCGCCTGGCCATGGCCAAGGCATCGCTGGTGTCGTAGGCGGTGGCCCGGCTATCCGTGAGCAGCGTGTGCACAATCTCGATCTTCTGCTTAAAGATGAACTGGTCGTGGGTGAGCATCGTCTTCAGGTTTTGGACCAGCGGCGTATTCTCCTCCTCGGTGGCCAGGTCGGCTATCCTCTCGTGGATTCTCGTATACACCTCGTGCCCTCGCACCGAGAAGTTCTTGATCTCCTCCTGTACCTGGATGCCGGGCAGAGGTTTCGGCAGATCCAGCTGCAAGGTGAGCGAGGGGAGATCCGTTTCCCAGACCTCAAGGGGCGTGTACTGGAACTTGGCTCCCACGCCCCGGAAGCTGAAGTGATGAACGTAGTCGCGGTGCAGCGAGTGCTCGCAGGGGCTGCCGCCCTGCTCGGCGTCTGGCGGTGGGCGCCGCTTGTAGGCGTGGCCGTGGAAACGCATCTCCAGGTACTTGGCCAGCGACAGGCACTTGGCGGAGTCGGAGAGCGGTATCGTTGGAGTCGTGGCGTTGCAAATACTACACCAGGAGGTGAAGTAAATGCGCTTGGGATCGGAGCGCGTAGAGTCCTCCGTAAGGTAGACATGTACACAGCCTAGCGAGTGGACATAGCGACGGACGTGGCCCAGCATCGGCAGGTTGCACGATGGACACATTGAGTTGAATAGGCAGCAGTATCGCTGCAGGAATTGCTCGAGCATGATGTCGTACTGCCCGTAAAACTTCATGTCCAGTAGCATGGGCAGCTTGCAGAATGAGGACACGCCCTTGGGGTTGTAATGGAAGCTGCAGAAGAGTACCGGCAGGCGCTGGTGGTTCTGTGGATCTAGCGCGTCCTTGTACAGCTGCTCCTCGCTCACCTTCTGCGGCCGTTGGATAAGCTCGGCGTTCTTCTTCTTCGGTCGGAGCACTGGAAGAGAGATAGGGATGTGAGATTGGGAGGGATTCCCGGCTAATCTTACTTACTCGGTGCCTTGCCCTTCGGGAAACGACCGCCAAAGGATCGGAACTCTGCCAGTTTGGTCTGGATGTCACGACTGCTCGCCGGCGCTGTAATCTTCATCTTCACAAAGTCATGGGCCGGCAGGAGTTGCATCTGCTGGTTCTGGTTCTCCTTGTTCCCGGGTTCTCCCGATCGGCCGCCTGTCTCGCTGTCCCTGGCCTCACTCTCCGGCCTATCCGCCGTGCGAGACCACTGCTTGGAAAAGTACAGCTCGGCGGGGAAGAGCTTCCTGAGCTTGCACTTGCGTCCCTGCTCCGTTTCCAGATAGGGCAGCGGGAAGGTCAGGAAGGGACTGACCGACAGGAGTGTGGAGCTCAGAGCCGTACGGAAACGGTTGTCATAGCGTGGCTCCACAGCTAGCGCTTGGACCACAGGCGGAGCACAGGGTGATGTGGACAGAGCCTCGGCCTGCGATGAGCGCAGTGGATCCGTAAAGTCAGCCACATTCTCACTGACAATGCTCACGATGATCTTATCCTCAGACTTGCGCTCCGCTATAGCAGGTCGCTTTGCTCGCAGTTCCGCCTCCGTCTCAGGGGTCTTGGGACTCGTCTCCTTGGAGTCAAATATCGAGGGCTTGGGACTCAAAGGCTGAGCAAACTCGTTCAGCAGGAAGGACATCTCCAAGCGCCAGTTGTAGCGGGCAAAAAGTAACGCCGAAGCCACTCGCTTCACCCTGGTGAGCTCCGCATTGCTGCCGCCTCTAAGGAGGCAGGTGTATCCTCTCGGATTCGTGAGCTTCTCGAAGAACATGAGAGTCTTTCCATTGTAGTTCCGTATGTAGAAGTCGTTGCAGTAGCCCAGCTTGGGCATGGTTATATTCGACTCGATGGAGCTGACAATGTCGCACTGCAGCGTACGTGACAACCGCTCCATCACCGATAGCTTCACGTCTAAGACAAGGGTCACGCCGTACGATCTCAGCAGATCCTGCGCGATGCCCGCCACATTTTTGTGTACCAGCACCACATTGGGAGTGAAGCTCATAATCCGCGCACAGACATTACGGAGGTACTCCTTCTCTTGCAACAGAACCGTCTCAATGGTCACAAACTTGCCTTCTATCCGTTCGTAGACAATGGGACATTGCAGCAGGAGGATGCGCGGGAAGGGCACATGCGTGGCCATGTCCTTGTGGGCCACGTTCTTGGAGAAGGCCACCCCATGGACAATGCTGGAGTCCTTGCGCCTGCCACCCGGCACCTTCTTGAAGTTAACATAGTTCCGAATGTCCATCAAATCGTTGGTGCAGTGCTCCGGCTTGAAGTGATTGGCGGCGGTGGAGCAGAGCATCTGCAGCACTTTGTCCCACTCCTGGTCGAGGTGATTGGCCCGCAAGAGCTGGGCCAGCAACTGCTCCTCGTGCTCACAGTAGGACTCTAGCAGCTTCGAAGTAGCCGTTGTGAAGCAGCGATCATTCTCCAATTCGTTCTCTAGCTCCCTGTCTTTTTCCTCAGACGTGGACAGATCCATGGACTTGGGTGGCTGCGGCTCTGCATGCGAAGCCACTTCGAACTGTGGACTCATTGTGCGCGAAGTGTCTGCGCCGCTGCTGCTCTTGGCAAACTTATAGTGCAGCGTTGGATCGAAGTCCATCTGCTCGGGGTCGGGCACAATGGGCTCGAGAAATCCGGCTGCCAGCATGGCATTCAAAATGGCCACAGCTTGCACTTCATTCGCCGACTTGTTGTTGCTATTGAGGAACTCGATCAGCCGTTGGCCACAGTTCTGGGCGGGCAGATCGCGCTGCATCTCCTCGTGCAGGGTGATCAAAGAGTTCGATTGCTGCAGGATGTTCTTGCGGTCGTCTATGGACAGAGTATTGTAATTGGTCTGCGAACTGAACCGCTCTTCCTGGTAGCCCACGGAAGTCTTCCTCGAAAGCGGTGCCCTCTGTTGCTGCGGATTCTTGGCATGCGGCGTGGCGCCGTCTTGCACTTCGAGTTTGTTGCTTAAATGCTGCTGTAGTGCCTGGAGATCCTGGCCAATATCCGAACTGGAGGACTTCAGGAAGGTCAGCACTATCTTCGAGCAGTAATTGCAGACTTTAAGGTCGCCATCGCAGCGAATGATCATGCCGGGCACCACCTGGTTGCAGCACTTGGAGCAGAAAATCTGGCCGCACAACCGGCAGTGGTGCTTGCGCCGGAACGTGGAGAACTTCTGCGAGCAGTCGTAGCACTCCTTGGCCTTTGAATCGGGCATCCAGAAGCGCTGCAGCTCGGTGTCTTTGTAGTTACGAAGATCCTGGAAAATGGAATGCGAGGGAAGGTAATTAAGTATGCTCCCCTTGCTTTTAAAACAAACAAACTCGTCTCTCTAAACGTTAGGGAGAATGCACATTTCACTCACATTGTTGTTTTTTGTGGCCACTATGTTGCTGATGTGCTTGAGCACATTGGAAACCGTGCGCCCCTGATTCGCTTCGCTGGGCAACGCCTCCAAGCGTTCATTGGCCTCGGAATCCTCAGCGGCAGTGGCGGAACTAGAGGCAACTGTGCTCGTGCTCCTCGACTCACTGGTGGACCGCAAGCTGAGTGTGGTTGGACGGCTGACAGGAGTTTCCCCTTCAGCCATGTCAGAGGTAAGCGTTTTGTTCTCGCTAAAGAACTGCGACTTGCCCACTTGAACGGCCTGCGAGGAGGAAGCACTGCTGCTGCTGCTTGTGCCACTGGATATGTCATTGACGGTGTTGTAGCTCTGGTTGTATACATTCTGGATTTTGTTGACGACGCGCCCGAAGAGCGACTCCGGCTTGTCCTCAAAATTGCGAGCGAATTCGGTGAGTTTGGTGGGTGAGTGCAGGTGCTGGTGGCTAAGGCCGGCTGTGGTGTGGCTACTGTTGCTGCTAGTCATGCTATTGGTGTTGTTGTTGCGGTGCCCAGAGGCTGGTGGGCGAGGCGGTGGCACTCGCCCGCGGACTCACGGTCCTTGGTTAGATAGAAGTGATGTTGAGCTGATCAATCAGGGCTGCATCCGGTGCTAAGGAGCCCAGCGCCAGATCAGTCCACTTTTGTTCCTACCAAAACCGAAAAAACCAAATCATAAATCTGTCCAAAAGAAGCCCCGGAAATGTAAACTCACCTGTTCGCTCACCGTCAAGTGTGAATCACCGCCGTCGGCCTCCGGATCGGGTAGCTTTTCGCGTGGCACTAGAATCTGATCGAAAGGCAGTACTTCCATGCGCCAAGCATTGTCCACAATGTCCAGCAGCAGATCGTCGATCGGTGCCTGCAACGCACTGAAAGATTAACTCCGAGAAAGCAATGAAAACGCCCCCGCAGCGGAATTACGTCACTCTACGCTAGTATGGGCCGAATACTGGAGACACGGTATTGCGCGTATTTAGATTTATCACAATGGGCGCCTTGATAAGTGCGGCCGAGCTGCGACTAATTACTGTGAAGCGATAAATGGCCACAGGTAACACAAGCCAAGAGCAACTACCACTGTGCCAATCAGGCGGGCGACGTATGTACCATTCAACAGGCACTCTTCCTGATCAAACAACAGAAATTGCCCACTTACCTGGCTATCCATCACTTATGGAAAAGTCTTATCTCAGATTTGCCAGCCTTTTACCGCCCGCCAATTGTTTGTTTAGTCGTTTTTTCCTGCTTTTGTAAACAATTGGCAAACAATTGTGTTTTGTTCAACCAAAACAGCTGCTTAGAGATGGGCACTAGCTCGTGCGATTAAAGCTCTATCGATAGTCAATTCGGTTCGATCGATTGCTTTTGTGCCTAACGATTTGTTATCGGCTGGTGCCATTTGAATTTGTTTGGTCTTGTTAAACAAATAAATAGAGGAATAAAGGCAAATAAATAGCTGAAAAGTCAAAAAATAGCAAAACAACTAATTTATGTTTGTGAAACTATTAGTGGGTACTTTATTTATTTTTAAGTTTTGTTAATTCGAGAGGTTTGTATTAATAATCCTGGTTTCAGAAATTCCGTTGACAGTTTTAATACCCTTGCGGGCTATTATATTTCTAGTCAGAAGCTTGAAACGCTTCCGACATTTCCGCATTTCCGACCCCTACAATTATATGGAAAAGTGTGATTTTGGCAAAAAAAAAAAAATTGTATACAAAAAATATTGGTATAAAGTAGCTATACTTTACTTCTTTTATATATTCTTGATGAAGGAGCCATTTCCGACCCTATAAATCATATATTTTCTTGATCAGAATTAACAGGAGAGTCGATTTAGCCATGTCCGGTCGAAATATAAATTTTCAATATTTTTTCTCATTAGGTTACATTGTTAAAATTTAAAAAAAAATTGACAAACAATTGAATTTCTTTAAATTTGAACTTGAATATGCAGATTTATTAAACTAATAAAAACTAGCATAGACGCTTTTTTGGCTTAGTTATGCGTTTTTTAAACTTTGATTTGTGAAACAAATATTCATTTCCGATTCGATCCTAAAATGTAAGTGAAAACTGCAAGAGCTTCTCTACTTTTCGTTTATATTACAAATATCCTCAAGACTTTCCTCTGTGACTTCTTAATCCTGTTTTTAAACCCCTTTTGAACCTGAAATAAATGTAATTTTTTAAAGAAACAATACAAGTTTATAAAACCAGGCCCATATACATTAAATAGAGTATATTTTCTGTCACAACTTGATCTCGTTGACTGTTCCTGTTGATTAACTGACTAGATGCAGCATAGCGCTCTGCAAAATTCGCTTTCCAACGTCAGCTATGCCGACATCTTGCCAGTTCGTCAACGGAATCCATAATATATGATCGAATGTGGAATGTAGAAGCAAGAAATAGCACCGAAAGCGAGTTTGCCACACAAAAATCCACGGAAATATTCTCACAGAAGCACACAGAATTGTCGTCTATTACTCGGGCTGTTGTTGTCAATGGCTTTTATCAATGAAACGCTTGTTGTTTTGAAAAGCACTTAACAAGTTTTGGGACTTGGAACTGGACGGGATTGCTGCCGCTGGCCTTCCGCCTGCCTTTCTGGCCGGACAGTAGTGGCAAGTGTAATCCGTCAGCGGTGGAGACTAATTGGCAACTGATTCCGAAGCCGCGCGGCGAGCTCAGCACCACACCTCGGCAATTGAAGAAGTTTCAATTAGTTGGCATTTGACACTCACACATGGAGCGGCTAAAAACGGGGATTGCGGCCCGTTGCCAGCTCACGCACACCATTCCCTCCGAGTGGGGGTGCTGTCCAGGTGTGTGTGTGTGTGTGCGAGTGTGTGTTACCTGTACCTGGACGGGCGACAGGTAGCAGTCAGTCAGTCCGCCGGCGACGCGACTGTGCGCCGCTTAAGCGTTTTTAGCGCAATGCCATCTGCCCGGAATATTAATGAACTCCCTTTTTTGAGACAAAATATGAAATGAAATAAGATTTTTAAGCCGTGTGTGTACGCGTCCGATTCGTTGTGGCTTTGAATTCGGATTGGGGAATTGGAATTCGGGCCCCAAAAATGCATTGGCCAGGGCCAAACACGGCGCATGCGCAGCGTTAGCCACTTCCGCTCGAGCTCGAATGCTCACAGAGGATGGAGGATGAGACATCCCTAGATCTTTCGCTTACGATTACCTCGAAGAAAAGAGAGACTCTGTATACAGCTCTCTGTACTCGGTACCATCTATAGGCTTTACATTACAGATATTTATGCGCGATTATACAAAACAGTCACGTGCCGGTCGGTCTTTCCTCTATATACACACAAATACTGGTCTGGACTTACACCTATTATATGAATGTGTATATACCAGGTATATGCATATAACTATAGAAAGCCAGAGAACGTTACTCACGACCGCACGAAGCCCCTGCTTTCCTGGGATCCTCGGCGACCGCTTTGGTAGCTCATAATTTGAATATCGTTATTATTATTCATATGAACACGACTCACGTTCCGAATGCCATAAAGTCGGCAGGGCCTGCACGTATAAAGTAAAGCCCATGGAACCACCAAATGACATACCAAAATCCCCCGAAGATAGTACTCCCACAAATTCCAACTGAAAGTACCTCTGAGGACACCGACCATCGAGTTTTTCCCATATTACCTGGCTCTGGGCTCTCTCCCATCGTGCAATTTCTCCCACTTCCTTCTTGGGCCCATCCGCTGGCGATTAAATAAAATTTAATTAAATATTAGTATGCACAATCAAGCGGCACCACTAACGCATGATGTGATGACCCATAGTTTCGTAACATCGATCGGCAGTTTGAAGGCCCCATATTAGTCGTGGAGAGCTTTCTAAAAAAAACTATCTGTAGAATCGAAGAAATTAATTTTAATAAGCCATTTGGTATTTCAAGCACACGTTGTCTCTCCTCAGTCGGATTTCTACGGGAAATGCTTTGTCAACGATCGGCTTCAGAAGTTTCAGATGTAAGGAAGTTAGTTTTTAACAATACAAAAAAACCGTAAGGAAATCTTTTTAAGGTTTGCTTCAGTAAGTCTATTTACACCCTTTCAGGGTAATACAATGTTAATCAGAAGCTTGAAACGCTGAGGAGTTATTTCCCACCCTATAAATTTGATATATTCTTGATCACAATTAAAGTCCAAATTGATCTAGCCATTTTTGGAGGAAAATAATTTTTATCAATTTAAAAAAAAAAGAGGTTACAATTGTTATAATTTTACAAAAATATAGGTTTTTAGATTTTGAAACGCAGTATGCAGATTTGTTAAACTAATAAAAACTAGCATAGAAACGCTTTCCGAATTTAAATTCATGAATTTTTTGCTTAGTTATGATATTTTAAAAATTGTGATTTTGGCAAAATAAAATATTATAAAAAAAGTATTGGTATAAAGTCGCTTTAATTTACTTTTTTAAAATATTCTTGACGAAGGAGCCATTTCCGACCCTATAAATCATATATATTCTTGAGTCGATTTAGCCATATCCGGTCGAAATAAAAATGTTCAACAATTTTTTTTAATTTTATAAGGGGTTACATCAAAAATGTAGATTTTTTTTAAATTTTAAACTAGCACAGAACAGCTTTCCGAATTGAAATCAATGCTCTTTTGACCTATTTACGCCAATTTTAAGCCTTGACAACTCCATCAAAAATTAAATCGAAAATATTGATTTTATATCTAAGATTTATAAATGGTAGCTCACAGCTTACGAAAACCGTAAATAGCAAACAGAAAATAACGAATTATCTTTAAATTTAACCTCCTAGTCGATAGCAATTGCATTAACATCGATAACATTTTGCCGAGATCTAGCTCTATGCCTGGTCCATCCCTACTTGCGAATCTGAACCGGCGAAATTGCATTTCTTGCCAATTGGAAAACAAAAACTTAAACAGCCCAATGGTGGGTAGCAAAAAACTCGCCAATGCATTATTAACAGTTATATATTTTCCCAGGACTACCAGGCCATCGGGCAATCGGAGTTGGAGCAGCTCTTCGGGAAGAAGTTTCAGTACCAGAAGCCACGAGGTAAATGTTCCTGGCAGCTGCCTCCGCCTGATCAAGCCCTCTTCGGCGAGTTCTACCAATTCGAGGCGCTTCAAGGACTCCGCGAACAACTGAATGCAGTGAAGAGCAGGCTGAACGACTATGGAGTGCAGGAGTGGAGTGCTCACACCAACCGTAGAGATCCCTCCGGCGAGGTGTCGTGGCGCCTGAAGAACGAGACAAAGGCTGAGTTCGTTACGGTGGCGTGGTGCAAATTCTTTGAGTGCCTGCACCGCTATCCCCTGGTCAAGGGCCCCGTGGTGAATACTCTGCATCTCTGCGAGGCGCCGGGTGCGTTTATAGCGTCCTTGAATCACTACCTGCACAGTACATACACCGAGGAGAAGGTAATGGAGTAATGGAGCTGCCATTCCGGAAGTCAAAAAGTAATTTCCATTTGCAGATCAAATGGCGGTGGCGCTCGACCACCCTGAATCCATACTACGAGGGCAATGCCTTGAATCAGATGATCACCGACGACAGATTTATCTTCCACACGCTGGACAACTGGCTATTTCACAAGGATCTCACGGGCAACCTAATGGATGTGTCCAACATAGAGGATTTGGCCGAGCGCTGTGCGCAAGACTTCAAAGGTCAGGTGGATCTGGTTACCGCCGATGGATCCATTGACTGTGCTGCCCAACCTGACTGCCAGGAGGAGATAGTGGTTCGTTTGTTTTTCGCCGAGGTGCTCAGCGCTTTGAAAATCCTGGCTGCAGGCGGCAACTTCCTGGTGAAGATGTTCACGCTCTTCGAGGCCTGTAGTGTGTCGCTCCTGTACATGCTGAACTGCGTCTTTGAGGAGGTGCACATCTTTAAGCCCGCCACCTCGAAGCGTGGCAACTCAGAGGTGTACGTAATCTGCCTGAATTACCAGAAAGACACTGCAGCCGGCCTGCCCCGCTTGCTGGAGGAGTTGCAGACCAAATTGGCAGAACCGAGTGACACTATGGTGATGCCTCTGTTTGCCAGGTCACAGATCCCCGCTGATTTTCTCATGCAGCACGAGATCGCCTGCCGGCTGTATATGAAGCTGCAGACGGACGCCATCGAGGGCAGCATCTATGCGTACGAGTCCAAGGACCGCCACTACCTAAGGCACCTTCATCACCTACGTGGCCTCGTCTCGAACACCTACTACAGTCGGTACAAAGTCAAGCCCTTGGCGGACAGTCGTTGCATCGTTGACAAGGAGGCGACAAGCAAGTCCCTGGGTTTCTCGGTGCCCGTCTATGGAGGCTCCTACACCGAAAGGGAGAGCCTGAAGCACGGGATTATCTTCAAGCAGATCTACTGTCTGCGTCGCGAGTTAGGCCAGCTCGAAAAATGCCCCAGTGGTAAGGCCTCTTACTCTTACACCTCCAATCGATCGTCGCCCCTGGAGCTGCGAATCTCTAGGGGAGCGCCAGTGCAAAGCCTGCAGAGCAGCATGTTTGCCTCGGAGCCAATACTTCTGCTGCGTCTGCGCATCCGCGACACCTTTTGTCTCGATCCCGTTTGGCAAACGACGCCGCATTGTCAGCTAGATGACAAAATACTCAACTACCAGCCACCTACAGAGGATGAAAGCTATCACTCTGCCCAGCGTCGGTTCTTTGTGAAGCTCTTGGAGAACATAAGGGATCTGCAGCCCCAGAGTGTTGTCTTCCAGAGGTTTCTCTTCCTCACCCACTATGCTGCTTCCCTGCTGCTGTTCCTCATGGAAACCCTTTACCAGGACTCAAACTTCGAAAGCAATCCAACGCAAACCCTCACTCTCAGTAATCCCAAGACCGCGGACGTCAAAGAGCTGACCAAGGTGCTGGACCTACTCAAGGATGAGCAAGCGGGAGCCATTCACAGCTTACTGGACATCAAGGAGCTGCAGAAGAACCAGTTCAGCAACGCCCTCGTCCAGCACAACAACGGCGTGCTGATGACCTGCCTCCGACGCATGCTTGGCGAGGAGGCCTTTCCCGTGCCCGAGGTGGTCATGCCAGATACCCGCCTTGTCGTTTTACCATAACAAACATGTATTTCTTCTCATTTTGCATAAAATTACAGTGCTACTTTTACAAGACTATGTACTCTGCCAGGGGAATCCGCTTGCATTCGCTTGTACGAGGGAGAGGACCCTCTGAGGATCGGGTCGGGGTGAGGAGTCGAGTTTTCACGAAAATGAAAATTAAATTACTAACTGAAAATCACAAAACTAAGGGCGGCGGCGATGGGGATTCTGCCGTGCCGCTGCCGCAGCCGTCGCCGTCGCCACCTCCGTTGTCGTCCCGCTAATCCGCCGGACGTTTTTCGCTATGCTTCTTGGTATAATCCTCGGCGTTCTTCACGAACTTCTTGCGATCACGCAGAAACTCCTCGGCCAGCTCCGCACGCAGCGGACGCTCCGGCTCCGGTTCGTTGACCAGGTCCACCAGGGCCTGCACCACTTGGTCGGTGCGCGTGGCCGGCTTCCAGTTCTCAGTACTGATAATGGGCAGGCACACCTGGCCCTTCTCGTCGATGTTCGGATGGTAGATGCGCGTCTTGAAGTTGATCTTTGGCGGCTTGAAGGGGTACTCCGCCGGGAAGTTGATCTCGATGCGGAAGGCCCCCTTGTTGTACGGCGGATTGTCCGGCACGATCAGACCCGTCCAGCGCAGCAGGTTATCGTCATCCGTCTTGATGTCCCGGAATCCCTTCAGTGTGTTCTCCTGCAAGTCGCTCAGCTCCTTCCTCAGGCGTCGCGGCGCAGTCATCGTGCCGTCTTTGAGTCCGTGTGTGTGTGTGTTCTGGGGCTGGAGTGCGTCTGTGTGTTGTATGTGGGCTGCGCTGACAGTGTGCGTGTGCACTTTTGTTTGCCCTTGTGTGTTTGTGTGTCGACACAGAAATCGATGGTATCCGTCTTCCGCGATGAGTAATGCACGTTCCGGCGGTGGAGCTTTGTTGTTGCCGGACTCTGGGGGCTTTTGTTCCCGTGTGGCGTCTATAACCGCCGTGCTGGCCGCAAAAAATTAGCACGTAAGCCTGCGAATTCCACTGAAAAATGGATTGACCGAGAATCCTTCAGATGGCGTTAGCGTATTTTGTGACTTGCTCACATCTGCGTTGGAGGTCGATTACACTGAGCCACAAAACGTTGCCTTCCCTAACAAAACATTTATTTTTATAATGCGAACTTGACTTTTAAACAAAAGTCATATAAATGATTAAATTATATATTTCTAATTAAGTTAATTAAACTGATCATTTTTGAGCGAATTTCGTTCTTAATGTTATCGATAACTCTTTCAGTGGCGGCACTGAAACCGATTAGTTATCATTTTTCAACGCCCATCACTACCGCTGACTTCAACACGTGCGCCGCGTTAGTTTTGTTTTCCCATAAAAATGACTAAAAAACTAACACTTAAGCGCAAAGGAAAGGAGCCGGAGCCCACCAATGAAGTAGCCGCCAGCTCCGAGGCTTCTGACAACGAGGAAGAGGAGGTAAGTTCGCCTGGTGACAACCAGAAACGTTTCTTCCAAAATGACCTGCATATGTTTGCTCTTTAAAGGACCTGCTCCAAGCTGTCAAGGATCCTGGCGAGGACTCTACCGATGACGAGGGTATAGACCAGGAGTACCTATCGGACAGCAATGAGGAAGTGGAGTTCGAGAGCGACGAGGAGGGCAATTACTTGGGCAGAAAACAAGCGGGGGGCAGTTCGGCTGAGGATGATGAAGACAGCGACGATGAAGACGAAGAGGAGGAGGAGGATGAAGATGACGAAGATGAGTCTGAGGAGGAGAAAATTGAAGAGGCTGCTAGTACATCCAAGAAAATCACAGCGGATGACAAGCCCAGCAGCAGCAGCAGCGGCGAAAACAAATCCAGCATTAATGAGCCCCCAAAGAGAGATCCATCCAAGCCGGAGTACCAGGACTCGGACACCTCCGACGAGGAGGATATACGCAACACTGTGGGCAACATTCCCATGCACTGGTACGACGAATACAAGCACATCGGCTATGATTGGGATGCCAAGAAGATAGTGAAGCCGGAGCAGGGCGATCGCATTGACGAGTTTCTGCGCAAAATCGAGGACCCAGACTTCTGGCGCTCGGTGAAGGACCCACTGACCGGCCAGGAAGTACGGCTCACAGATGAGGACATTGCCTTGATCAAGCGCATCAGCAAGGGTCGCATTGCCAACGAGGATCACGATGAGTACGCTCCCTGGATCGAATGGTTCACCTCCGAGGTGGAGAAAATGCCCATCAAGAATGTGCCGGACCACAAACGCTCTTTCCTGCCCTCCGTGTCCGAGAAGAAACGGGTCTCGCGTATGGTGCACGCCCTCAAGATGGGCTGGATGAAGACCACCGAGGAGGTGGAGCGTGAGAAGCAGGCCAAGCGGGGACCCAAGTTCTACATGCTGTGGGAGACTGACACCAGTCGCGAGCATATGCGTCGCATTCACGATCCCGTCTCAGCGCCCAAGCGCGACCTGCCCGGCCATGCCGAGTCATATAATCCGCCGCCAGAGTACTTGTTCGACGCCAAGGAAACCAAGGAGTGGCTCAAGCTTAAGGACGAGCCACACAAACGTAAGCTCCACTTCATGCCCCAGAAATTCAAGTCGCTGCGCGAGGTGCCCGCCTACTCGAGATACCTACGCGAGCGCTTCCTGCGCTGCCTGGACCTGTATCTCTGTCCGCGTGCCAAGCGCGTCAAACTAAACATCGATGCCGAATACCTCATCCCCAAGTTGCCTTCGCCGCGTGACCTGCAGCCCTTCCCCACGGTGGAGAGTCTGGTCTATCGCGGTCACACCGATCTGGTGCGCTCCGTCAGCGTGGAGCCCAAGGGCGAGTACCTTGTCTCCGGCTCGGATGACAAGACCGTCAAGAGTAAGTTGCATATCTCCCTGTATTTTTTCAGGACATAATAATGTTCATCCTTGCAGTTTGGGAAATCGCTACGGGCCGTTGCATTCGCACAATTGAGACCGACGAGGTGGTTCGTTGCGTTGCTTGGTGCCCCAATCCCAAGCTCTCCATTATCGCGGTGGCCACTGGCAGCAGACTGCTGTTGGTCAATCCCAAGGTGGGCGACAAGGTGCTGGTGAAGAAGACTGACGACCTGCTGGCCGAGGCGCCCAAACAGGATGTTATCGAGAGCGAGCGCATCAAGGTGGCGGTGCAGTGGTCCACAGCAGAGGCTGACGAGCAGGAGAAGGGCGTCCGGGTGGTCATTACGCACTTCAAACCCATTCGCCAAGTAACTTGGCACGGGCGCGGTGACTATCTGGCCACGGTGATGCCAGAGGGCGCCAACCGATCCGCCCTGATCCATCAACTGTCCAAGCGACGCTCACAGATTCCATTCTCCAAGAGCAAGGGCCTTATCCAGTGTGTGCTCTTCCATCCGGTGAAGCCGTGCTTCTTTGTGGCGGTAGGTTGCCTTGTTACCTCTTTCTATAAGCTCTCCTTGCTTAAATTTTGCCATTTCTTTCATTGCAGACGCAGCACAACATTCGCATCTATGACTTGGTCAAGCAAGAACTGGTAAAAAAGCTATTGACCAACTCAAAGTGGATTTCAGGCATGTCCATCCATCCCAAGGGCGACAATCTACTCGTGTCCACCTACGACAAGAAGATGCTCTGGTTCGACTTGGATCTGTCCACCAAACCTTATCAGACCATGCGCCTCCATCGCAATGCCGTGCGCAGTGTGGCCTTCCATCTCCGCTATCCGCTCTTTGCCTCTGGCAGCGATGACCAGGCTGTGATTGTCTCCCACGGCATGGTCTACAAGTAAGTGGCCTCGAGATATCTTTTCCTCCGAGTTTCCGTTAACGTTTTTGTGTGTTTTCAGTGACTTGCTGCAGAATCCATTGATTGTCCCGCTGAAAAAGCTGCAGACGCACGAGAAGCGCGACGAGTTCGGTGTGCTGGACGTGAGCTGGCATCCTGTGCAGCCATGGGTATTTTCCACGGGCGCTGACTGCACCATCAGGCTATACACGTAGATAAGGAGCAGCGATTCCTATAAGCTAGTTGGTTCTGCAGACAGTTTTTGTGAAGTTTATATAGTAAATAAATACACATACTAATTTTTAATGAATGAAAATGATATGTTTTATTCTGGCACTATATTTCGGGAGATTTTAAGTGTTTTAAGGAACATTTGCAATAGAATGATTTAATACACCCTAGCAAGGGTCTTATAATTTTAGTCGGAGCTTGAAACGGTATGAAGGAGCCATTTCCGACCCTATAAATCATATATATTCTTGATCAGAATTCACAGGAGAGTCGATCTAGCCATGTTTGGTCGAAATATAAATTTTCAACATATTTTCAAAATTTTATAAGGGGTTACATCGTTAGAATTGTCAATAATTGTCCAAAAATTTAAATTTTTTTACATTTCAAATGAAGTATGCAGATTTATTAGCCTATCAAAAACTTGCATGGGACTGCTTTCAGAATTAAAATGCTTGTTTTACTTAGTTATGAGTTTTTTAAGCTTTGATTATTTTAACAAATTGTCATATAAAAATATAGATAAATATCGACTCAAAAAATGGTATTATAGTTTTAGTCAGGAGCTTGTAACACAGTGAAAGAATCAGTTCCGACTCTATAAATCATATATATTCTCGATTAGGATCAACAGGCAAATCTTTCTAGGCATATAGGAAAGAAAATAAATTTTTGCCAATTTTTTAAATGTTATAAGGAAAAATTTTATCGAGAAAAATGCCAAAAATTGGTCTTTTAATTAAAATTTTTTTAAATTTCAAATTTTAAATGCAGATTTATTAACCTAATAAAAACTAGCATAGGAATGCTTTTCGAATTGAAATTAATTAAGTAATGATATGTCAAAAAAATATCACATAAATTCTTTTGATAAATTTATTTAATTTTTTTAGAATTTTATATAAACCATTATTGAGTATAATATTTAATAATTAATATTAATAAATTCACTTTATCCTTTATTTTACCACAAGATTGATCTGACACTTTGCAGGCACTTATATTAATCCAAAACAGGGTGTTATTCCAAAAATCACATGGATCGCTCTAGGAGGAGAGACAAAATTTAAACTGTTTGTTTATATGCGGGATTCGTAAGTTTTTTGGGATCCCGAAATCAAGGTCCCTTGACCAGTGCAACCCTGTCGAAAGTTGCCAAGCTAGCGAGACTCCCAAGCTTTTGGGGGATTCCAGCGGAGCTTTTTTTCTCTTTCATCGCACATGCTTGGCTTTCTCTCTCGCGTGCGCCTTGCTGGTGTGTACCACCAGGAATTCTAACTGTATAGCTATGCGCTCGAGCTTTTCTCTCCGTTCCGTCGTCCACCTTTTTGGAGCCCACAGCACGCTCCCCGCGCCGAGATTCCTACCACCCACCTCCCTCAGTTCCCAACCACATCGATGGCATTCTTTTGGGTAGAGGAGCGCGCGCATTGGAAAATCAAGAGCTGGGCGACACGGCACTGCTTGGAAATCAGTCGCGGAGAGAATCTCGAGTCGCTCCGACCTGTCGAGGATTGGGTTCCGTTCCGCTCCGCTCCGTTCTGTTCCGTTCTGTTCTGAGCAAGGAAAATCGCAGAGCGCAGAACACCAGAACGCAGCAATCGAATCGAATGGCAGCCAGCCCCCGTGAAAAAAGCAGGAAAATAATAAAATATGGCCGAGGGCGAGATGTGAAAATCGGGATGTGAAAGTGCCCCCAGTGAGGTGGAGAAATAATTGCAGTTCCGCGCACACCAAATCGCTGAAATTTCGAAAAAAAAAGCCCAAAAGCAGGGAAAATATAAAATCAAAGTGCGAGCAAAACAATTTCGGGGGCGAAAAAAAAAGAAAATATACACTACACTCATACAAACACACACACACCCCACACACACACACACACAGATTCCGATTTCGAATCCAATTCTAGTGGCAAAAATTCGTATGTACTCGTCGTTGGTTGCTCCCAAAAAAACATACATACATACATACATATGTACCAGTGAGCGCGTCGTCGTCCCCCGCAATCCTCGCGAGCAGCAGAAAAACAATGAGATAGAGACAGAGATAACCAGAGGTGGTCAACAAAGGAGCAGGCGAAGCAGCAGCTGATTTGTGATAAGTGCAACGACCAGAAGTGCAATTAGCTGCCTACATGTTGCAGCTGTTGCAGCAGCAACCCAAACATCAGCAGCAGCAGCATCAGCAGCAGCAGCAGTGGCAGCAGCAAAAATCACGCATACGCCCTGTCAGACCAAACAATGCTGCCACCTACATACATCAGTGTAATGAGTGACCACGGGCACAAGAAATAAATAAAAGGCAGCAGCTCCAGCTGCTCATAAATTTCGTAACACCGTGGAAATGTGCCCCTTGGTGCTAACGGGGCCATAGGATCTCTCTCTTGCCCCCATAGATTTCCGACCGTAAATCCGCAGCGGAGTAAATGTAAATGCCGTAGGCGCCACCGCCACCACCCGCGCGCACCACCATACGCAGGCAGCACCACTACCAACAACAAAAACACCACAATCACCACCACCACCCGTACCACCCGTACCACCCAGCCAGCAGCAGCAGCAGCAACCAAAAATCAGCCCACGCGAAAGCAAAGGGAGCAGCAGCAGCAGCAGGGACCGAGCACCAAGTAACCATTGCAATCAGGACCAGTTACCAGTACCAGTTACCCAAGGATTACCTACCTGATCAGAAATATTTCGGCAATTCCACAAATTCGTACTCCTCGAATATCGAGAAATCTGTGGAAACCACATAGCACAAGAAGAAGAAGAAGAATAAGAAGTAGAAGAATAAGGCATGTAAAATCCCCCAAGGAAAAGCTGAGAAAAAATAAAACAAAACGAAAACTAAAATCAAGAGCACCAGAGAGACCGAAACGAAAGAGAGAGAGCGAAAGCGAGTACGACACGGAGAGTGGGAACTTTCGATAAAAAATTATTAGCAAAAACATAAATACGTAACGGCCTCGTTCTCCTCCCTTACCCTCACCCGCCACCTCTGGCCAAGAAGTCGAAGGAAGAGGACAAGGAGAGCGAGCGCAGGAGAGAGGAGAGCCGCCAGCAAAAGAGAGAGAGAGAGAGAGAGAGTGGGAGAAGAGGTCGCGCGAACGGGCGAGTGGGCAGGTCAGTGGCAGTGGGCGGTCCGCCAGCTGGGGCAGCGCCACCACATCACCACCCATCTCCAGCGCCCATCTTCATCTCCGTCTCCCCTCTCACCGCCAGTTCCCAGCTCCATTACCATCGCCACCGCCAGAGTCAACCTCAACTTTCAAAGGGCAGGTAAGTGTAGGAGCACGGCGAGAAAAGAAACGGAACTTTTCCAAACACAAACCCCCCAAAACGATTTATTATTGATCGGGGAATAAAGTGAACGCGAAACCACATCATTATTAAGCTAAAGCTGATAAAATTAAATAGAGCCGTTATTGTTTGACCTTTAGGAGTATTAATTAATATTGACAACCTGTATAAATTGGGGTAAGTGCTATTGCACAGCGAGAAAATAAGTCACAGTTTAGCTATCTTACAGTCAATTTCTATTAACAATATTCAAGGGATTACTTTTTCGGATTTCCCTTTAAAAATTCTATTTTAGATTGATATATTCAATGAAATCAGATCAACAGCACTAAAAAAGTTTCTTTTAAAAACGATAAATACTATCAAAAATCTTTTAAAACTGGTTCTAAATAATTCAATATATAAATTAAGCATCACTAAACTATAATCTAAACTATATATTTATGGACTCTTGTTGGTGTTTTTATATTTTTAAGAGTTCCTGAAGAGATATACAGTTTAGAATTGCTCTAATATAGTTTTAAACGAGATAATGTAACTCTTTTCTTAACCTTTTAATTGAGTTCATCAGAACCTCAACTCAATAAGCTTCAAAATAATGAATTAAAACACAATGAAAACATGCCCAAATGAAGAATATTACTCATTTAAACAATTGATAGTTCCCGATAAGAACCTTACCTAATTGATGACCAATTCTCGGTTATATTTTTCGGTGTGCGACTGTGAAATTCCCCAATAATCCCCTTCCCACCTGAGAACCACTCACCTGCCTTGGTTAACATTTCAATTTGTCTGCCTTGTTACAGGTAGCGGCATGTCCTGCACCGTTTCGGAGCTGCCCAGTGGCTGTCGACTGCGCGGCATGACTGCATCCTCCCAGCAGAGCGGGGCCAACAACAGTGGCAACAACGGCAATGGGAACGGGAATGGTAATGGCAACGGCAACGGGAATGGCAACGGAGGAAGCACCGCCGGCGGAGGAGGCATAGTCGGCGGAGGAGGAGGAGGAGGAGGCAGCCTGGGCGGAGTATCGCCCACTGTGGGCGGCGGCGGGTCCACGTCCAATGTGCTGCAGGAATCCAATGCGGCCACGTTGCAGCGGCCGCAGTCACAGAAGCCGTGCTGCTTCTGCTGGTGCTGCTGCTGCTCCTGCTCCTGGTAAGTACCTGGTGATAGTTACGTTACCCACTCACTTGTTCTCATGCTCCAATCCCCTGACACGAAATCAATTCTTTCTCGTTGCCACGCTTTGCCTCCTTGGCTCCACGTCGCTCGACCACCACAATGCCAACGCCAACACCAAACCAATACCCACTGAAACCGTGACAACAGGGCCAAGTGGTAAGTTCCATCCAAACATACAAAGTGGGTTGCACTGGGAGAAACAGGCTAGTGGTTCTGGGGGTTAGCTGGAGAACTCTTTGAAGATTTGGGGTCTTGAAAAGTATGCTACGAATGGTTTCAGCTTGAAACAAGTCCTTTTCGGATCCAAAATATTTTGTTGCATACTTTTGCTTGCATTTTTAAGGGATTTACCTTGCTTATAATTAGCCTTTTATTTATTATGTCCACTAAAAGTTGATGAAATGATGGATCATTCATAATTTAGTCTATTAAAATAGTAAAATAGTAGAAAGTTAATAATTATTATGAGAATATACCAAAAGATCCTTCTTTAACGTTTCTAATTAAACCCTCCTCGAAATAGAAAATCTCTAGTTTCCTATTCAAATGCTCCCTCTTTTCGCCCAGTGCAGTCATGGCCAATAGCCGCAGCTATTGGTTATTGCTATGGCTTTAACTACTGCTTCGGCTTTGGCTATGGCCACTGACATGGACATGGACATGGACGCGGACATGGATATGGAAGTTGAAATTGGAAGCGGAGAGGTGGACATGGCCCTTTTTCGTGTCAGCTGGCAATGCCGCCGACTCTCATATGGCCCAAAAAGCTCACTCTCTCTCTCTCTCTGTTGGGGCCCCCTTAGCTTCCTTGCTGTGCTCGCTCTTTGGCCCCACTCTTTGGCGCCTCTCTTATCTGGCTTGCGCGCTCTCCTTCGTTCATTCACAATTCCGGGAGCAAGGCAACGCGCGTCGCCGTCGCCGTCGTCGTCGTCGGGCAGCGAAAAGCTCTCTGGAGGGCACTTTTCAAATCAAATATAAATAAGTATGTGGCGGCTCCTCCGCGGAGGACTCCGACTCCTCCAAGTGTTGCATGTTTTCGTGAATGAAACCGAAAGTCCTGTCGCAGTCCTCCTGCTCCTCCTCTTCCGCACCTTTGTGTGTGCTGGCATCCAGAACTGGGCGCCCCAAAAAATACCCCCATCCCGTTGGCACACATCTAATTCGATTCATATACATGTACAATGTACCGTATGTACGTATGTTTGTCCATATGTATGTATGAATATATGAAAGTATGTAGTGAGCGGCGCTGTGTGACTTTGATTAGGTACGGGACATTGTGGAGCATGGGAGGGGGAGCAGGGGGGCCTCTGATAACTGTCAGTCGGAAAAGATAACGGAGCTTTGTCAAGTTCGGAGCCGAGTGCTCCAGCTCCACTTCCAGCTAGCGCCGTCCCTGTCTGTCTTTTGGTGTTCGAAACCCAAAACCGATATGACATTAGCCCAAGTACAGTGGTCCTTCGCTACAGTCATCAAAATTAAATATTTAATGACGAGAGTTTAACATTATTTATGTAGTAAATATTGAAAGCAATATATTGACCTGTTAACAACCTTTAAAGGTTCAAATTTCATTACTTTCTTCCCGGTTTTATATACTTTTGCAGGGTATTACAATTTTAGTCAGAAACTTATATCTCAGTGAAGGATAAATTTTCGACCCAATAAAGTGTATATATTCTTGATCAGAATAAACACACGAAACGATCTAGCCATGTCCGGTCAAAATATAAATTTTCAAAATTTATCCAAAATTTTATAAGGGGTTACATCGTTAAAATTGTCAAAAATTAAAAAAAATATGATTATTTAGAAGTTTAAGTTGAGTATGCAGATTTACTAAATCACAAAAAACTAGCATGGGAAAGCTTTCCGAATTGAAATTAACGCCTTTTTGACTTATTTATAAGTATTTTAAACTTTGATTTTTCCAAAAGAATGTTCAACATTTTGTGACCTTTGTTTTGATTCATATTTAAATTTAGAAACTTAAAAATTAATTTATATTATGTATATCACAATACATAGTAGCTACTTGTATATGCTTTTCCTATTTATAAGCTAATTTTCTCCTACTTTCATTACCTAAATTTGTGACAATTGTATCGATTACTCATAGATATGGTTAGCTCCACTTACCCCATGACCTCATACATTTATCTGTCATTATCTTCAAGTCTCTGTCCACTCTATCGGGTGACTACCGTATTTACACGTTTATGCTATTTTTTTGTGGCAGTTAAAAATGAGTCAGGCTGGGCGAGCGGCAACTCGGCGATGAATAAAATCGTAGTCTACTTTAAAGGGTGATTGATGGGTTGTAAAATCAAAATATAACGACATTTAACAAGGACGCCTCTTTATCTTTTGCAGTCTGGCCATCAAGAATGCCGATGAAAATGCGCCCACGAAGCGGGATCTCGTTAATGCCGAATTCCTAGATGGCGAACAGTGAGTTTAATGGAACACCCATAACCCTATATAGGGATATATATACCCAAACCCATATGTATTCAATTTTTCAGGCCCACACTGGAGGAAATCCGTAGCTGGGGCAAGAGCTTCGACAAGCTGATGAAAAGCTCAGGTGAGTCGTCTCCTGAGGGCCCCCAGTTGAACTCCATGATATTAATTCGTTTAATTCACAGCCGGTCGGAAGGTGTTCCAGAACTTCCTGCGCAGCGAGTTCAGCGAGGAGAACATCCTGTTCTGGCTGGCCTGCGAGGACCTCAAGAAGGAGGGCAGCGCGGAGGTTGTGGAGGAGAAGGCGCGCCTCATCTACGAGGACTACATCTCGATACTGTCGCCGCGGGAGGTGTCCCTGGATTCGCGGGTCCGCGAGATTGTCAACCGCAACATGATCGAGCCCACGACGCACACCTTCGACGAAGCTCAAATCCAGATCTACACACTGATGCACAGAGACTCATATCCGAGGTGAGTGGTTTGTTGGATTCAAGGATCTTTCCATCTTTTATTAATTTCCCCCTTCTCAACAGATTCCTAAACTCACAAAAGTTCAAGACACTCGCTCAACTGCAAGACAACTCGAATGCCGGCTCCAAGGCGGATAGTCCCACCTAGAGACCTAAGGAGGATCAGGTGGGAAGCCAGGATCGGATTCACGATTCCGATGGAGCTGTGTTGATTTCCGTTACTGCTCTTCATTAGTATTTCACTGGGCCACCTCATCCTCATCCAGCCACCGGCGCTGCGGCAATCGACTAAGCAATATGTATCCATTAGTAGAACCATTTAAAAGTTTTGCTCGCAGCAACGAAGGATAATCGGATGCCGGCAAAGGACCCAGACGAGATGTGCATTATACGTGAAACGGATTCCTTCTCTCTACTTACGTTCTAGTCGTTAACAAACCAAAGAGTTAGTCAGTCGTTTAAACTAAGAGGAGCCAAGAGGAGCGACCACAGAAAGCATTTTCCAAACACAAAACAAAAAGCGGTTCCAGAAACATAGCAAGTGAACACGAAACGAGCGACACAAATAGCATCTATTGTAATACTAGTGATTTAAGAGACGTATTAATCAAATTGCAACAAAGATTACGGAACCCGCTAACCGATAAGTAAACTTAAACAGAAATACTTTTTCCAAAAACGACCGAAAAGAAAAACAAAGAAATGAAACCAAAAAATCTTTTTAAACGTATTACATAAATTTATAAACTTATATATATATACACACCAGCATATATATACAGATATATATATATATATACAGAAGATATATAGAGACATTTAACTTGACTAGTTTTGAAGAAATCGTTTTAGGTCATACGAGTAATGACATCGAAGCATTTTGTAAATACCACAGCAGACGGCAAAAGAACACACAACACTTTCTACTTTCGTATAAGGCCCATAGAGGATCGAGTCCTTTCTCTCCCTCTACAAAGTCCCATCCTTGAGCTGTACTCTGGAACCAGACAGACCACACAATATATAAACCCCTATATAACGTCTTAACGATCCGAAGGAAACCCAAAAAGAACAACAACAAGCTGGAACAAAACGCATAATTATAACGTGTACTATATATTATTTCGATGTCGAGAGCTGATTTCCAAGTCGAAAGAAGAACGTTTCGCAATATCACTGCCAAGAAAACAAAACAAAACAAAAAAATCAGAACTTTGCAAGAGATATATCCTCTTATAATACGAGTATATAATGCCAGGCGAATGTTCCAAGAGTTTCCTCTCACATTATCCCATTTCTGCATTGAAAACAAAACTTACAAAGAAAATATATATGGAAGAACAGTATTATAAATAACAAAAACAAAAAAAAAACAACACAAAAGTATGGTTATGTTAAAATTTTAGTCAAAAAAAAAAAAAAAACAAAGTTGTCGAATTGAAAACTAAAAACAAATACAAAAACATAAAAAAGATGAGGCGAAATTAGAGTCAGGATTATGGCAAAACCCTGCTCGAAAAAAAGTTAACAATATGTATTCTTCGATCTTAAGTTGGTTTCGTTAACACTTTTGGGTTGTCACAGTGTGTTTTCAAGGCACCAAAATGTTTTTAAACAAATAAGTACAAGCGATTCCTGTGTGTGTACCTTTGTTGCGGGGAGCCGGGGAATGTTTTTCGTAGCTAGTTGGTGTGCCTAGTTTTAATGCATCTATCGACACGGACACAAGGACACCAATAACTCAACAAAACATACACAAAAAAAACACACTTGAACATTGACTTTATCTAGCATTTAAGCAACTTCCAGTTCCCCTCAAATATCAGTTGTTTTTTATTCTATAAAGCCTCTCAGACTCACCAGCTTCCTCCTTTCTAGTCCTTCAAAACTCAGGCTGCTACTTGGAATTGAGAATTCGACAAACGCTTTTGCTCCATTTATAGTAGAGGAGGCCCGAAACCGAAATCCCCGTCAGTTTCCATGGTTTGTTAAATTAATTTTAGGCAATCAGATTATAAACAAACACACACACACACACAAACAAAGAATGTCCTGTAAGGAGCAAGGAAATGTTTTCCAGTGAATGTTTCTCTTCGGTTTCTTTCCTTTGGAGTATGGACACAGATGATATATAAGACTTTTTGAGAACAAAAGAACACAGAATATACAGAATATAAGTATGTTTAAAATACGATTGTTGTTTGTTTTGATTAGTTTTACACACCGCCACACTCGCACACACACACATTACACCTACACACGATACATGCATATATATATATATAATACTTACATAGCGTATATGTACAAAAAAAAAAAACAAAGAAAAAACAAAACAAAAACAAGCGTAATCAAGCATTAGTGAAAAGTTTCGACCAGTTAAAAAGCATAAATAAAATTTATTACAAAAATCAACAACTAATGAGTAAATGCAAATGAAAAACAAAAAAAAAACACACGGCAAGATCAATAAATACAAAGAAAACAAAATGATTAAACTAAGCCTAAATTTAGTTTTAAACATTTAATATATTGCAACAATAAACCAACATGAAAATAAAACTCAAATTTGAACTTTGAACACGTTCTTGTACTACTTTCGGGAGAAAAATCCTTGGGGTCTATATCTATTGAAAATATTATAATTTTAATATATGTAGGGAAATATTAAAAAATATCATAATTTATCTTAAAATATGTTATCTACAATAACGAATAATGTTTGAGAAATATTGCATGTATTTAGGATAGTCTATCAGAAAGTGTTTAAAACTATTTTAAAATATTTCAAAAGCTAAAACACATAAATGGTTTTTTCGTTTATTTTATTATTCATTTATAAAGAATTTAAGTACATTACTTTTTATACTTTCCAAATGCTTATTTTAATTTCAATTTCAATTCAATTTATTTCATTTCAAAGGAAACCTTTGATCACAACCATATTCAGGTTTATTTTATTTTCTGTAGTCTTTAGATACTTCTGTTAGTTTCAAACTTTTTCACCTATATTCAGGTTTGAATAATCCATATTCCATTTGTTCCATTTCTTCTTTATTTATTGACTAGCTTGGCAAAATTTTCCGAAATTTTCTTGGTTACTTCTAGTTTTTTTTCTTCGATTGCCTCTATTTTGCGATAATGCTCGGCTTGCTGAGAAACAATAGTTTGAAGAATTTTCCCTATCTCTAGATTTGAGTCGGAAGTAAGGGGTAAGGATCCGTGTTGGGTGGAAAAGTATGCGGAGAATCCAGGCAAGGGGAACTTGGTGTCCTCTGTTTCATTCAGATGGTTCTCCTTTTCGTCCTCTGACAGAGGCTCCTTTTTGACAAAGGGCTTCTTGTCCTGGGGCTCCTTCTTGAGGACGGTCTTGATCCTGCGGCTCCTATTGACTTCCTGCTTCGAAATGTGCAACTCACAGATGCTGGCCACCGCCTTCTCACTGCTGGACAGTTTATCGCCAAAGGGATCCTTTGCTAGCTTTGCACGAATTGAATTTTGCCGATTTACCCAAATCTTAAAGGGATTCAAGATCGAATGAATTTTCTTTATTTCAAGTATTGATTTAAATATATCTATACCACTTACCTTTTTCCATGCTTGCAGGTGCTTAGTGGGAGGACCTGCCGAGTTTAATTCTTGGTGTAATTTCTGCCACTTCTCGGCAATCACAACACGATCGCCCTTAGCAAAGCCCCTAGCCACATCAGGGTTTTCAAGCATAAACCTCATCATGATGGAGTCCTGGGTTAAATTTTTGAATCTTAATGTAGAGGCCATCTTATAAAATAGTTATCTAAAGCAGCGCAGTTGTCGATTGGAAGGTAGGTAAGGTAGGTAACCAGGGAGCCTTTGGGAAAAAATAAAATGATAGGATTAGGGACATTAGGGAATGTTAGTACAATAATTTACACATTTTAAATGATAATAATAATTATAAACAGTACATAAAAGAGGAAATAGCGCATAAATATTATAATTACAATTACATTTTAGAAACAACAAATCTAATTGTAAACTTAATAAATTTGTATTATTGCTTAAAAAGTATTGTTAAACAAGTATTTAATATTAATTTTAAAATTATTTTACATAAAGCGCCACCAACGTGTAAAGATAGCACTGCCGTGTCTACGTGAGAATTTTACACCTTGTAGAAAACCGAACTTAAGCGATGTATTTAAAGTCAGATCCAAGAATGGATGGGTGGAAATACCAATACATATAACAATACAGTGTCAATTTTTTGAGCAGTTCGATATATAATATAAATAAAAATAAAAACCCTTTATTTTTTATCTATAGGTATTTTTTTTTAAAACATAAGATTGTGACAAGGAGGACCCTAAACTTCGTATATCTTTGTTGAACCTAAATATAAATAAGTTTTAAACAAGAAAGGAAATTAACGAGTAAGCTTAAAATAATCGCACTCTTTGAATCGATATTTATTGATATTTTTATGACTAGTAAGTAATTCTGAACAGTAAGTATCTATGACCATTAAGTAACTTTGAACATTGAGTAACTCTGAACAGTAAGTATCTATGACCAATAAGTAAGTATGTATGATCAGTTACTAACTTTGAACACTAATAAACAATGACTTGCAACTTTTGTAACACAACACTTCTCTGATACTTGGCCGGCAGCAGTCACTTCGTTCCGGAGATGTTAGAACACAGTTGGGAATTATATGATATGATGAATGTTGTGATAACTATGATCAGTAAGTATCTATGACCAGTAAGTAACTCTGAACAGTGAATATATATGATCAGTAAGTAACTCTGAACAATAAGTGTCTATGACCAGTAAGTAAATATAATCAGTAAGTAACTATGATCAGTAAGTAAATATGTATGATCAGTTACTAACTTTGAACACTAATAAACAATGACTTGCAACTTTTGTAACACAACACATTTCTGATACTTGGCCGGCAGCAGTCACTTCGTTCCGGAGATGTTAGAACACAGTTGGGAATCATAAGCACACATGTGCGAAGTTAGTTTTGGAACAAAGAGCAAGCTATTTGAATGAAACTATGGAATTATTCATCTATATAATTTTACTAGTATATAATTTGGAGCATGGCGAATCGGTGGACTATATATATATATACATATATATAGCTGCCATAGGAACGCTCGGACGATTTATAGAACTATGATCAGAGTAATTAACTATGACCAGTAATTAACTATGAGCAGTAAGTAGCTATGAGCAGTAAGTAACTCTGAACAGTAAGTATCTATGACCAGTAAGTAACTCTGAACAGTAAGTATCTATGACCAATAAGTATGTATGGTATAATTAGTTACTAATTTTGGACACCAATAAACAATGACTTGCAACTTTTGTAACACAACACATTTCTGATACTTGGCCGGCAGCAGTCACTTCGTTCCGGGGATGTTAGAACACAGTTGGGAATTATATGATATGATGAATGTTATGATAACTATTATCAGTAAGTATCTATGACCAGTAAGTAACTCTGAACAGTGAATATGTATGATCAGTAAGTAACTCTGAACAATAAGTATCTATGACCAGTAAGTAAATATAATCAGTAAGTAACTCTGAACAATAAGTATCTATGACCAGTAAATATGTATGATCAGTTACTAACTTTGGACACTAATAAACAATGACTTGCAACTTTTGTAACACAACACATTTCTGATACTTGGCTGGCAGCAGTCACTTCGTTCCGGAGATGTTAGAACACAGTTGGGAATCATAGGCACACATGTGCGAGATTTGTTTTGGAATAAAGAGCAAGCTATTTGAATGAAACTATGCAGTTATTTGTCTATATAATTTTACTATTACATAAATCGGAGCATGGCGAATTGGTGGACTATATATATTCATATATATAGCTGTCATAGGAACAATCGGAAGTTTAAAAATAAAATTTTAACTTCTCCAGTTTTCAACAGATTTTCACCAAATTTGATATATGTATAGCCATTATAAATTAATCTACAATTTTGTGTTAAATTTTCCGAAATTCGGACTACAATATTCTGATATATAAAACTATATTTTCTATATATATATATATATTTAAACTACATTTTTGAAATTTAATTGTCATATTATATCGAACTTTTCCTCTCGATATATATCGCACCAGCAAACGGCAAACGACAAACACGATGACGGACAGCTTGCGGGCGGGGTACACCTTTTGCCGTGGCGGAAAGCACACAAGCTCCGTCTGTCCGCTGTCCGCTGTCCGGCGATCCGCTGATTGCCGTCGCCTGGCGAGGTTGTACTCGTAGAATCGTATCTGAGTCGGAGACTGAGGTTAAACCCAAGCCAGGCCCAGGTTGTGAAGCGAGAGAGAGCCAAGAAGAAAGAGAGGGGGAGAGAGAGGCGAGCCAGAACGATCGGAGGCTGTGGCGGCAGCCACACTGCGTATTCGCGATATTCGTTTGTGGTACATGCACAACTATTTTACGTATGCCACACTGAGAAAAAAAATTATGAAAGATATAAGAGGTAAATAATAAGAGGGATTTTTTTTTTTAAATTAAAAACACTGGCATACAAAAAAAGTGTGTTATAGCTAAGTAATTATTAAAATTATTGATCAAGTACAAATTAATTGAAATAAATATTTCTTTCAGCTAAAAAATTATATGATTGTTACATAAATTTTTTTCCAAAATGTCTGTTTTTAAAAAATATAGTTCTCAGAATAATATAATATATTATATGCCATATACTATAAATTAAATTAATTAAAATTCATCTAGGGTATTTAAACGATCAGTAAACAATTTCTTTATGTGCATTCTCTTGGCATGCGGCGCTCTCTATCTCTCTTCCAGCTCCCTCTCTCTTCCTCTCTCGTTCTCTCTCTCCCTCTCTCTCAGCTGCCAGTGTGTGCGTGTGTGTCTCTACCTGATGCCTGAATTGCACTACCACTTTCACGCGACGGCGGCTTACAAGCCAAATGGCAACAACAGTGGCTAAAAAGAACAGCGGCGAGTTCGAAAAATGCGAATTTCGAACTGCGAATTTTCGATAATGAATGCAATGCCCAGAGCAGCGCGAAATGAACGCTAAAGCAGGAGCGGTTGAGCCCCCAGTGCGGGTGGCTACGGCTCCTTTCTCCCCATCTCGCTCTGGCTGCCGCACGTGCAACACGGCAGACGAGGTTCGTTGCCTAAGTCTTTTGAGCGGGCAGAAAGCAGAAGGTTCGTGGCCTAAGTCTTTTGTACCTGCGCCTTAGCTGCTGCTGCTGCTGCGCGCACCTCTCTGCAGGTGCACCAAAACACACGCAAAGGGTAGCTACCTGTGTTTGCCACTCAGGTGTAAGCTAGTGTGTGTGTGTGTTTCGGAGTGTAGACACACAACATCATCGATTCGAATGAATTCGAGTGGCGCTGCCAGCGCTGCCCGCGTCGCTGCCTCGCTCAAATATCAGTTACGAAAGAGATGAAACCATAAAAAGCAATAATAATCGAGCGCTCTCTCACCTGCACACGGACAGCACCTTGCCACCAATACCATTAAGGCGACAGAGGCGCTGACAGAGGCAGCAGCTACAGCAGCAGCAGCAGCAGCAGCAGCAGCAGCAGCACATTCAACAGTTGAACAATCTCCAATTGACTCTTTGGGCATTATAGCCGAGAGCCGAGATCCAGCGACAGCGACGACAAGTTTTCCGCGCACACGGAAAGTCAAAAAGTTAATGCCGATCCGAGGCTCGCAAGTGAATTCTATATATATATCCAAAATCAGTGATTCCCAATCTATATGTAAATTAATAACTGTTTAGGCCGCGTGTGTCTTGAAACAAACCAACAAATAAACACAAATAACAAAATAACACAGAAAATCGCGCTTAAACTTTTTCGAAATTAAATAAAACACACACACACGAGCGCACGTACACACAGATAGTATTTGAGCCACGAAGAGGAAGAGAAGGCTGAAAAAAGCGAAAAAATATTCACAGCCAGCCGAGAGTGAGTGTGTGTGTGTGTGTGTGTGTGTGAGTATCTGTGTGCCAGTCTCTCGGAGAGCGTGTGTGTGCGAGTGTGTGTGCGTGAGACGCCATCAAAAAGCTGAGCGAACAGCGAATAATAAAATACAAAATAAAAATAGTGATTAATAACAGCAACAGCAGCAGCAGCAGCACCAACAACAAAACACACAAGCTAACTAACGAGCGGGAAAAAGCGTGAAAACTAAAGTGTAGAAAAGTGAATAATACAATAAACAAAGCAGAAAAAGCCCCCTCAAGTGTCCCCTCTCCCTACCCTCCACTGGCATCCCTGCAACATTGGCGAAATGTTGCTAAAATGCTAAGCCAAAATGCACAAGCCGCCAATGATACAAGCAACAGCACAGGCAAAGGCACAACGACAGCAGCAACAACAGCAACAGCAGCAACAGCTCCACATACCACAAAGAGTGGCGCATTAGAAGCGGCCAAAAGCCAGGCATTGTGCAAGCCATAAGGCCCAGAGAGCCAGGCTAAAAGCCCCCAGACGCACAGCAACAACAATAACACAGCAACCGAAGCAGCAGCACAAAGACTGGCGAAAGGTGCACCCACCAGCAGCCAACGAAACTACAAACAACATCAACCCACCAGCAGCACCACCAGCAGCAGCAACAACAACATTTAAGATCGGATCCAGACAGCCTCCCGGACTCCACCAGCAGCTCCATAGTTACACTGTTCCAGCCCGCTCGAGTGCCATAGATCCTCACCAAGTGCCAAAATCCGCATCCTGATCCGGAAAATACGGCCCAAAAGTGAGTAGCAGCAGCCTACCAAGAAGTAATTATAAATGCATCAGGCAGCAGCCCAGGCTCGGCTCAGGCAGGGATTACACTGCGAGAAATGTGGTTAGAGAGTTGGTATAATACTCTAAATTAATATTATATGAAAATGTAGGAAATATTTTAAAATAAATATAGGAAAATTATAATGCATTTGATATATGATAGTATTATTTAATTAATTAGACTGAAAAAAGGCTTACAGATATCAAAAATCACATTAAATTTTAGTTAGGATTTGAATATTTTGATACATTCAATATGATATTTTTAAAGATCAAATTTTTGTATAATTCAAATTTTTTTCGGTGCATTTTGGGCTTATAAAGGTCAGGCCTTACTGTGGATTTAAAAACAATAGCTGCAATTTCCATAAACAAGGCTATAAATGTGTGAATTTAGGATTTTAGAGTTTTATTGCTCATTTTTGGAAACTAAAAGTGCACTTTTGTAATTGTTGGAGAGTATCACGAGGATTGGGTACTAGAAAATACCCTAAAAATAAGGTTTTAATTATATCTTAATACCATTCTTGATTGTTTTTATGGAAATTGGTATATAATTTAAAAAATATTAGTTGTAACAACTATTTACATTTTGATAAATTTAAAGAGTTTTCTGGAGTTTTCTAGAATATTTCCAAAATTTTTTAGTAGAAAACGTAGTGTTAACTAGGTTTGATTCCATACTTTTTGATAATATTTATCTACTGACTTATATTTATTTATTTTGAACTGGTAATTACTATAGTAATTTTAGTAAAAGTAAATTTGTAACACAACTATAATATTTTCATTAAACTTTTGTTAGTATTATTCCTATACTTTATGTAAGTATTTCATAAAGAACGGGGTTCTATAAGAATACTGTGGAGATCCTGAGATAATATTAGAGGTTACAGCTAACCAATTTCCACTGTTCCTCTGTTGTAATTTGTCAAAAGATATTTCCACTGTTCCTCTGTTATTTGCTAAAAGATACTCTTTTCAATTCAATTAAAAGTTTCATTTAATTTAAATTATAACCCTTTCATTGCGATTGTTTATTTGCTGGCACTAATAAAGTTGGTACAGTGGACACCCTGTATGTTGTGCAGACATGGTCGTATCCGTAGCCTTAGTCTTTCGGAGCTCCCAGCTTCAGTAAATGTTGTTGTTTTTTGTGTTGTTGCTGTTGTTACTGTATTACTGTTGTTGTTGTTGTTGTTGCTGCTGCTGGTGGGTTTCTTTCGCGCACACATTCCTCTTTGTTTGGTTTTATTTCGAAGTCGCCGCTGCGAGCAGCGGCAGGTAAGACGCACAGGTATTGGTGTTGCCAACAATGCTGTGCTAGAGCAGGAGACCCAGAGCGAGAGCGAGAGCGAGAGAGAGAGAGAGGGATTCAGAGAGCAAGAGCAGAACAGAGTGGGAGCGAAAAGGGATCAAAAGGTGTTTTTTTTCGCCTGTCGACGTCGACGTCAACTGCTCAGTTACTGCGCTGCCTTCTTGTTCGAAAATCGATGATGTTGCCCCCATCCATGTGTGTGTGTGTGTTTTCTGATTACGTTTCCCCCTGGACTTTCGGCCTCTCATTCTCTATGTCTTCTTGTGTTCTTTTTGGCTTCTTCTTTTTATTATGATTTTTAGTTTTCGTTGTCTTTTTGCCTTTTTTTTGTGCGCGATGTGATGGTGATCAATTTGGGGCTGCGATTATGGTACAGTAAAATGAACATCTACGCAGCACACACACACACACACACACACTCATATGGATTCGAACACGGTTACATTTCAGCCGTGAGATACACACACACACACACACGCGCACACCTACTAAAAGATACACGCGCGGGCCACAAGGGGAACTTCGTGAGAGAGTTATTTTATTTTCGTGTTCGTGTTAACGTTTATTGTTTTTCTTTTCTTTCGCCTTTGCCTTTCTTCGTTTCTTCGGGCCTTCTTGACTCCCGACTCCCGGACTCTTGCAGCGGTTCGCCCCCTTCCCCATTCCCATGCCTCTCCCACTCTTTTGTCTTTATGCCCCTTTGCCATTCCCCCTACCATTGTACAGGCAGAGAAATAGGGTGGACTTTCTTAATGATTATTAATGATTGAGGTATTAATAATTCATTTTGATATTTTTAAATTTCTTTTAATATTAAAATGTAACTAATTTTAAACTTAGTTTCACGTTAAGTTGAAATAATATCAAAATCATTTACAGTTCAAAATTAAATTCTATTAATCCTGTTACCATTGCCCCTCTTTTTTTAATGATAATTCATTTTGATATTTTTAAATTTCTTTTAATATTAAAATGTAACTAATTTTAAACTTAGTTTCAAGTTAAGTTCAAATAATACCAAAATCATTCACAGTTCAAAATTAAATTCCATTAATCCTGTTACCATTGCCCCTCTTTTTTTAATGATAATTCATTTTGATATTTTTAAATTTCTTTTAATATTAAAATGTAACTAATTTTAAACTTAGTTTCAAGTTAAGTTGAAATAATACCAAAATCATTCACAGTTCAAAATTAAATTCCATTAATCCTGTTACCATTGACCCTCAACAAACTCTAAAGATCATAATCATTTTCAGTGTAAATCAAATTTTAATAATTTCAATAATTAAACTTAAAAAGGTAATCGCGCATTTTCTCCCAGTGCATCTTCTACCAATTCCCAGTGCCCGGCCTCAGCCTCAGTCTCCTCCAGTCTTTGGCTTTGGTTATTGATGCCCGCAACTCTGACCGTTGATGTCTTAGGGTTACGCTGCGCATTTCTTCTCTTGTCTCTTCTTACCCGCCCCACTCTTTGCTCTCTTCTTCTCTCCTTCACTCTCCACCACATTCTCCCTGAGTAGAGGTAGAGGTAGAGACGTAAAAAATAAAAACCAAATTTCAAATTATGTCAAATCTTAATGGGATTGGAAATGGAATTGCTTTTGGTATTCACTGCATTTGTATCTAAGATCGTTGGTATTAAAAAAAGGGGAAAAAGGTGGTCACTGGATAATAGGGAGTCCGGGTCCCTAGATCTCACATTTTGTAGGCGTTGTCCGGAATCTTGGGGTTTGATATGGAATAGGAATTAACTTGAAAGAGGGTTAATTTACAACATATAGTAAATAAATGATTGTATTTTATGCGTCTTTGGTAAAAAAGAAGCTAGTGTAGGCGGACAGTTTCCAAGGTTTGATCAAAATATTAGCAATAGTTCTGTTTATGTATCTGTATCTAAAATCGAAATCATTCTAATTCGTTAAAATATGCATGTAGAAACTTAACCTCAAGAAAACTCACTACAAATTGATCAAGGTTCTGTAAGCTATAAATATGCAAATAGCTTTCGCTGCAAAAGATTTCCTTATAGTGATCTTGATCGCTCCTTCTCTCTCTTTCCCTGTAAGTTTAGTTTAAACTTGACTTACGATTTATTGTTTAGCCAATCAATACAGTAATTGCCCATTAGTTTCCTACTCTCAACTGCGCTTTTGTTGGAATACCTGTTTCTACGATCGAATAGCGGTAAATCTCGCGCAATATAGCGTAATAATTAAAGGTATTATCATTGCGGGGGTGTAAGCCATAAATGCTTATAAGTCATTAATTATAAATGCGAAAACTTAGTTGAAAGATAGAGATTCTTTTGGCGGAGAGATACTTTTTTACATTAGAATCACATACTATTTAATATTTATTTGTAATAGTTTTTCTTATTCTTAAAGACTTAAGCCGGTGCTTTAATCCCTCTATAAATAACCATTTTCGCTAAGAAAGTCCCCTCACTTCTTGTCCACACAAATCTCCTCTATGAGATTAATTGGGATTATCTTCTCCACATCGCTGCTTCCCATTTGCGTTGGTTATCTATCTGTACAGCTTTTCTTCGCCGATCGCTGATTTCTTTTGCACCCACCATATGAGTAATGGGTCTTGGCCAGAATCCATCTGTCCACCTTCATCTCCGCACTCTCCCCCACTCTATACTTCTTGTATCTTTCATCCATTCAAGCGGCAAGTTGGAAAGTTTGGTCCCGGGCCAGAGATCCCCCGAGGGTCTTTCTCCAATGTGGCTGGTCTTTTGGCTAAGATATGACCACGGATGACCCAGTTCAATGGCTGGAATCTCTTGTGAGCCAGGGTGTTGATGTTACTTTAATTGTTTCCTAATTGCCTTTCGAATTGCGTAGAAAGTCAAGAGAATCGGATGTTGAATGTTTCATAGGAAATTCGCCATGTTTAAGTAATTATTGATTTAAGTTGGTTATTATCTAGAGAGTTGCGGAAATAAAAGAACAATGATCTTAAAAGCCAAATATCTAATGTAACAAGATTTGACAAGTATCAAGCTTGAAACATTTAATAGATTTTCAAGGAATCTTAGATTATTATTTCAAAACCCTAATTATTATTTGGAAATATTCAGAGGATTTAACAAATCTTCAATTGCAAGATCTAGTTTTGTTCCTTTAAATTAGAAATAAACAATGGATATATTATATTTAATATTAATAACCCAAATATCTTAGGACCTCTTCGATCTACAGATACCAAATTTGGTATGCAGCCCTTTTAATCCCTTTTAATTAGAAACAAACAATAATATATTATATTCCATGATAACATACACAGATATCTCAGGACCTATTTGATCTACAGATACCTAATGTGGTATGCAGACTTCTTAATTCCTTTTAATTAGAAACAAGCAATCGATATATTATATTCCAAGATAATAACCCAGATATCTCAGGACCTATTCGATCTACAGATACCAATTTTGGTATGCAGACCCTTTCCATGTAATGTTCTCAAGTTCTTACTAGCTTCAACCTCTAGATAAAGTTTAATTAAAAAATTCCAACTTGCTTTGAGGGGGGGCATGGGATATCCCACCCGCGTGGGATGCCAAAAGTGGTCAGTGCCAAAAAAAAAAAACTAGTCTATAGGCGCACATTGCTGTGCCGCCGCATGACACTGACCTCACCTACTAACGGAACCCGGCGAGGAGCCAGTCGGTCGTCAGACGTCGTGAACTCGCCGGGTTGGGCTGACAAACAAGTTTATCCACATCCACATCCCAGAAGCAACCGAAGCAGCATCGGCAGCAGCAGCAACACCAGTGTGAACTCTGGCGGCAGCAGCGATTTTTTGGCTTTATCATCAAACAACAATATCGGTTGGAACTGGGAACTGGGAACTGGGAACTGGCACTGGTCCGAACCTGGACCTGGACCTGGACCTGGACCTGTAGCCAAAGCTGAACCTGAACCTGGGCAGGCTTGGCGGCTTGGTTTGGCGTGGAACCAGAAAGTCAGCCTTCTGGATTAGGTCAAGGATTGAGCTGGAGCTGTGACTGTTGTTGTTGTTGTTGTTGGTGTTGTTGTTGTTGTTGTTTTGGGCCTGCTACCGGTGTGTGGAGTACCTGTTCTTGATGTTGTGTGTTTGGGCTGCGTTTCGGTTTGGTTTCGGTTTCGTTTTCGGTTTCAAAATCCCTCATAAACATGTTTTGTGCTAACTCGCCCCAGATGGTGGGGGGATTCTGGACTATTAACAGCTGATGGACTGACTGGTTTCTGTATATAGTATATATAAGTATAAGTAGTACTGTGTTTAATTTCACACAAAGCGCCGTTGTAAACAACAGTAAACAAAATACAAAATACAAAACAAAAAAAACAACAACACACAAATATGGTGGCTGCTCTCTGTCGCTGCCTCTGCTGGCGTCGAGGCTTCTTCCACCTGTTGTGTTTGTTGCTTTGTGTGGTTCTGTCGCCGCTGCCGCTGCCGCTGCTGTCGCTGTCGCTGTCGCTGCTGATGAACCTGAGCGCGCTGAGTTATGCAGTTACACGTTTGACATTTGCGAAGGAGTCAAACTAGTTCGACGGCCACGTGTTACTTATTTATTTTTGTATTTCTTTTTTTATTTTTTGCTTGCCTTCCCTTCCCTCCCATTTTTTGTGTGCTTTTTTTTTGTATTGTGTGTGTGTGTGTGTGTTGTTTGCCCCTTTGCGCTTTTCCGCTTTTGTTGTTTTGTTTGTTTGTTTGTTTGCTGACTGCTTTTTGTGTGTGCTCATCGTTTGAACCCGTTTTTTCTTCAAGTGTGTGCGACAACGGGGGTGTGTTGCCCGAAGAGGGGGGGGGAGGGGTGGGGAGACGGGCGCCAAGCAGACTGCCGCCAGACTGATGCCACTTTTTATTGTGTTGTTGTTGCTGCTGCAGCGAACTCATATTGGTAATTGCCGCCAAAGCAACAGGTGAAAATTAATAAGGTGATTGGCAAAAGGCCCTTTTTCGAAATGCTAAATGGGAATTACCTTCCAAGGCAGCATAAAGCCATGATTCCACTGTATTTAAAGGGATTAATGGGGTTTATTTTGTAGGTGACAATCGAGAGGGGTTTCCAGAGAGAAGGCAATGAACTTTTAAGAACAAAAAAAGTATTTCAATAGAGATTTTCCTTTTATAGATTTATACCCTAAAACATTGTTTTTGAATTCTAATTATTAAATGGATTTTGAGCTGAGTTAACTTGAGTTTGGAATGTGTTCTCTTTTTACTTGTGGCCAGTTTTACCTTTTTAAACGAATTTACAATACTTTTATAACTTAAACAGCTAGATAATCCCCTAAACCATAATTTGTAGCTTATGTTTATGTTTTTCCTTTGTTTTATGTTTATGTTTTCCCTTTCAAATAATAGTTTCAAGCTTATAATTAATGTTCATCTATAAAAGATCATCAGAAATGCATTGAATAACTGCAGAAAGTCTTAAATACAGTATAAAAACCTTAATAAAATTACAAAACATACTATTTTTGAAGATTGCATGTTGTTTTATCATTGTTATTTTGTTCAAAAAAGTCTTATGCTCATCTAAAAACCAGAATGACAACAAAGTAAAGGAAAGAACTAACTTTGTACAGCTTAGTTTAATAATAATTACTACCTTCATATATCACCTGACAGTTTACACCTTTCTTTTCCCGAACTTCAAGATCTTAGATCTCTTTGCTCCAGTTTGTCTTTCACTCCCCACAAAGACAACACTCTACTGCATCTATATCTCTCTTTTTTCCCACAATTGGTACTAATTATGACCATTGTCTTGTTGTCTAATTGCAGCTGAGCTGAGAACGAAGCGAAGGAAGTTCCTTAGTGCCATAGAATGCGGTAAATTGAAACAACGAACGACACACCAGAAAGACAAACCAACAAATCCAACAAATCCAACAAATCCAACACAGAAACTATCCATCTGGAACTGGAGCGAACTACTAAAACTACAACTAAAACAACAAAGTGCCTTCCATCAATCCGTTGATTAGTGATATTTATTATGTTTATACTTGCCAGCAGGAGCAGCATCAGCATCATTAACTCGAACTTGAGCGACCTTCCAAGGATCCAGCATCGATGACCAGTCCACGATCAGTTCATGACCAAGTCAGAGTGCAATCCAGAAGCCAAGTCCGAGTCCAGATCCAAGTCCAAATCCAGTTCAAATTAGTTCAGTAAGCAGAGGCTAAAGGAGACAGAGCCACAGCGAATAATGTCCACATCCACCGCCACAACGAGCGTCATTACGTCCAACGAGCTCTCGCTGTCCCACGGCCACTCGCACCATAATCTTCACCAGCATCAGCAGCACAGTCGCCTGGGCGTGGGTGTTGGTGTGGGTATCCTGAGTGACGCCTCTCTGTCCCCCATTCAGCAGGGTACCGGAGGCAACAACGGAGGAGGAGGAGGCGGCGGAGGAGGAGGAGGCAATAACAACAACAACAACAACAACAGCTCACCGCTGGCACCCAACGGTGTACCGCTCCTGACCACAATGCATCGATCACCGGACTCACCACAGCCGGAGCTGGCCACCATGACGAATGTGAATGTTCTGGACCTGCACACGGACAACTCCAAGCTGTACGACAAGGAGGCTGTCTTTATCTATGAGACACCCAAGGTGGTAATGCCACCGGATGGTGGACCAGGTGGCGGTGGCGGTAGTAATCCCGATGAGGGTCATGCCATCGATGCCAGGATTGCAGCCCAAATGGGTAACCAGCAGCAGCAGCAGCAGCAGCAGCAGCAGACGGAACACCAGCCGCTGGCCAAGATCGAGTTCGATGAGAATCAGATCATCCGCGTCGTGGGTCCAAATGGAGAGCAGCAGCAGATCATCTCGCGGGAGATCATCAACGGGGAGCACCACATCCTCTCCCGCAACGAGGCCGGCGAGCACATCCTCACGCGCATCGTTAGCGATCCCTCCAAGCTGATGCCCAACGACAATGCGGTGGCCACCGCCATGTATAACCAGGCCCAGAAGATGAACAATGACCATGGTCAGGGTAATGTCTATCAGACCTCTCCCCTGCCCCTGGACGCCTCCGTGCTCCACTACAGTGGGGGCAATGACAGCAACGTGATCAAGACGGAGGCGGACATCTATGAGGACCACAAGAAGCATGCAGCTGCCGCGGCAGCAGCAGCAGCAGCCGCCGCCGCCGGCGGTGGTCCCATCATCTACACCACCTCCGATCCCAATGGAGTGGTGAAGCAGCTGCCCCACCTGTCCGTGCCCCAGAAACTCGATCCGGATCTGTATCAGACGGACAAGCATATCGATTTGATCTACAACGACGGCAGCAAGACGGTTATTTACTCCACCACGGATCAGAAGGGTCTCGAGATATACTCGGGCGGCGACATTGGCAGCCTGGTCTCCGACGGCCAGGTGGTTGTCCAGGCCGGACTTCCCTATGCCACCGCCACGGGTGCCGGCGGACAGCCTGTCTACATAGTGGCCGATGGCGCCCTGCCCGCCGGAGTGGAGGAGCATCTGCAGAGGTGAGTGCACTTTCCGAAATAATTGTGATAACTTTAAGGGGTTCCCAAGAAATGGTTTAAAATTTGATATTAATTTGGAAAGCGTTCACAGTTCACAGAATGCTACAAAAGTGAAGGTCATGGGTTCATCCTTAGATACATAAAATATTTTATTCAATACTTCAAGACATTAAAACTATTTATTGTAGATTTTAAATCCAGAGCCATTTCTGTGGCATTTTTGATCGATAAAAAATGTAGTATCCATAAGATCTATAATCTTAAACAAGAAAAGACAACAAAACTTCGGGAAGTCCAAGTTAATACAACCTTGAATTTAAATAATTAAACTTTAAATATGCGCATTCTGTGATCTATAATTTTATATGACAATTCAAATTTTAAAATACTCATAACTAAGCTAAAAACACATTAAATTTAATTCGGAAAACTTTCTCATGTTAGTTTTTATAAGGTTGACAAATCTGCATACTTCGTTTTAAAATTTACAAAAATTAAAATTTTGTCAAATTTTTTGACAATTTTAACGATGAAAATTAAAAACGATTAAAAATTATAAAAATTTCAAAATTTTGAAAAAATTATTTTTTCCCAAACACGTCAAGATCGACTTAATTTTTGATGCTGATCAAGAATATATATAATTTATAGGGTCGGAAATGACTCCTTCGTTGATTATCACCAAGAACACATAAAAAATGTACCTTTTAAGAATTAAAGATAAATATTTTTTTGTGATAATTTTTTTGCGAAATTCACAGTTTTCTAAATGTCATAACATGACCAAAAATTCATTAATTTCAATTCGGAAAGCAATCCTATGCTACTTTTTTATAGTTTATTAAATCTGCATACTCAACTTAAATTTTTTAAAAATTAAAAATTTGGTCATTTTTTGACAATTTTCCTTTTAAAATTTCGGAAAATTTTTGAAAATGTAGTTTTTGACCAGACATGGCTAGATCGATTCGCCTGTTGATGCTGATCAAGAATATATATGGTTTATAGGGTCGGAAATGACTCCTTCACTACGTTTTAAGTTTCTGACTGAAATTATAATACCCTGCGAAAAGGGTATATTGATAACCTTGCTCGGGTATAAAAGATCAATCCTTTTATGAACTTACTTGATTGATGATTTGTTTAATTATATAATTATTTCTTTTAATTGACATTATAAAATATCAAATTCCTTTTCTAGAAGCTAAGAATTTATTATCCTTAAAACTATATTTCTATATATAAAATAAGTTCAGAAATTGACCCCTCTCTAAAGACCCTATTTGCTGCTGTGTTCTCGTAATTGCCCACAAGGGGCGTTGAGCTTCCCAAGGGGTCGTCTTGGTAGTTTTTCTTTTTTTTTTTGGCAAAGGGTTGACCTTCTGCCAAGTGCTACCTTTTGTGTGTTACTAAAGGCAATGTTGTGCCCCTTAATTAGTGGCTTAATTGGGACTCTTGGGGGGTTCAAAGTTAGGGTTCTTCGAGTCCTTCTTGGTAGGAGGTATTGTTGCAAAAAGTTTATAAAAAGTATAGGGGAATATTAAGAATATAACTTCCTTAAACCTATATATGATAAGGAATTATTATTTGAAGTAAATGATTATCGGATTTTACTAATCAGTAATATCAAGTTTGTAGAGTTCTTCCAATTCATTTAAAGATATAACTTAAAATAAAGACTTCTTAAATAATTTAAAGAACAAAGAGCAAATCAAAGAGTTTTTCATAGGAAAAGCGTTGTTCTTTTCAGCAATTATTATTAAAATTTCTTATATATTTCATGTCTTTAAAATAAAACTTTAGAAATTAAACTTACCCTCTTAGGAATCTTCAGTTCTTGATCACAATTTTCAACACAAAATAAAACACCTAGAAGAAAAAAAGGAACCAGAAAATAAATATAAAGAATCACTCAAGAGTTTACAACATATATTAATCCTAGAATTACATATAAACGAAATCCCTGAGACAACTTAAACTCAAATAGATGTATTCATTGGAGCGCCTTTTCTATCGGCAACATAAATCTCGACTAATTGCCTTCGTCATTGGCGGCACAGAAGAGTGGGTCGGTTGCCACATCAACATCTTAATTGGGGACACAGGCTGTGGCAGTGGCAGTGGCAGAGAGGCAGAGTCTTTTGGCTACCATTCGGCTCTTTGGTCTCCTCGGTCTTCTGGTCCTTTCAAATCAATGTTTGTCATTTGCATTTCTCATGCATTTGAATTAACCGCGCGCACATTTTACTGTTAATTATTGCGATAGGCCAACGGCAACGCCAGCGCATTCTGGCCACTTCTATCCATACCCATTCCATGGCCCAAACATTGAGTTCAAGCCGGGAGTCCTCCGTCCTCCCCACCCATCGGTGGCCATTCCCCAATGGCTCCCCAAGAAACCCCATTTCCCCCCCCCCCTCCTGAGTGGAATGACAGCTTCCGTTGTAACTGTTTATTCTATACGTTATTGCTGCCCCTGCAACAGGCAACAACTTTGGCATTCTGTGGCGTGCATCGAATGTGCAAGTAGGCGAGAGCTAATAACACCCAGAGTTCCACAAGCGACCACGGAAACCCAGGCCTCCTCCTGCATCCTCCATCCTCCATCCTCCATCCTCCATCCTCCTTCTGGCATCCCATCCGATCCGCCTGGCAATTCATTTTAGAGCAGGCATGGTGTGGTATGCGCGGGTAATAAAAATTTGAATATAAATTAATCTAATAGAGAACCGTTAGCGAGGTGAGATGCAAGCGCAGCCTCCTTGAGCAAGGTGCCGCCGCCTTGGAGCAGCAGCAACTAAGTCATCGTCATCTCCATGGATCGTTTGGATCGTTGTTGCATCGCTCTTGCTGGATCGTTCGGATCGTTTGGATCTTTTGGATCGCCACTGCAACGCCATCGCATCTGCATCTGCAGAGAGACCATCTTCGCTCCTTCTCCCCAGCTTCCTCCTTCTCCTTCTATGTGAGTTTACACAGCGAGAAAAATAGGGGTAGCAGTTGGGAAAGTATCAACTAAATGATCCATGATGATCATGGTTCTTTAGAGATATTCCTTTTCTTAGGTTGCAGTTAGGCATGGTGGAAAAGGTCAATATATCGATAATGTATCAACATTTTATGTAAAAGTTGATATAAAATACAATCATTTGACGTTTTGAACTTCTTTTCGATATATTTTCATATTATCCAATCCATATATTAGACGTTTTGAACTTATTTTCGTTATATTTTTTTCAATTTAAGTTATAGATTGTGTTATTCCGAAATAGGACAAGTTAAAATAAGCGATTGGGATATATGTATCTACCCTTCAAGGTAAATTACTAACTCAAATATGGTATTATTTCAAGGGTTTCAAACCTTTACCTTTAAATAAACTATTGATTTACTTCACAGTAAAAAGAAGTTCACATAAATATTTAAATAAAGTAATTTCTTTGCCTTAGAATATATATATCCTATTTCTTTAAGTAATTAAGGGTTTTCTAATAATAACATATTTCATTTCTATAAAATATTTTATATTTTCTTAAGAAGTCTCTATACTTTATGGGTTATTTTTATCCCTTTCAAGAAATCAAACTTCTCGAGCTTAGAATCTCTTTTCCACCCTCAGTTTCCATCTCTTTCAGTGCATGGTTCTAATGCCAATGTCCCATCCTGTTATAGCGGAGGTTGCTGCAGCATCAGCAGCAGCAGCAGCAGCATCATCTGCAACAACAGCAACATTGCCTGGTTGGTTTTGGCCAACGCGGCGTGCATGTTGCATGCGCGGCAAGGTCCATAAATAACGACAAAATTGCGTTTCCGCATATGGACCGAGCAAACGTCGTCTTCTTCGTCTTCGATTCGGACTTGGACTCAGAGACTCAAAGACTCAAAGACTCACAGACTCAGACTCAGACTCAGACTTGGACTGAGACTCAGTTTGGGTTTGGGTTTGAGTTTTGGCATGTGGCCCGTTTGGCTGGACCTTGCGTGTTGCTCTTGGCTTTGGCCTCGCACTCTCTTGGCTCGGATCTCGGCCTCGGTTGATGTACAGTTTGTTTTGTTTGCTGGCCCCCATGATAAGCAGCTGAGGACATGTCCACAGCATCCACATCCACATCCCCATCCCAAGTCACATCCAACGTCTGCCTGATGCTTGCCAAAAGTGTTCGGCTTGCCACGTTTTCATTAAAGTCAAATTAAAGCGGCGACAGAGACAGATCGAACTGGGGATGGCTTGGACTTGGACTGGAGATGGGGCCACAAGCTGCATCTGTATGGCATTTTTTATTTTATATATATAAGCCTGACTGACCTTTGTTTCGAGCCATCCTTTCCATTGTGTCTGTCTGTCACCGCATAACATATCCCTTGCAGCGTCTTAATTTACACCATGCAACAGGGTTTTTGATTTACAAGCAGATGGGTGAAAGGATAATTCAAGAAAATTTTTTTTTGTTAAAAGAAACTCTTTGTTACCTATTTAAACCCTAAATTATATTATAATTGTCCATTTTATTTAATTCTTAAATTATTTTATATGGGAAACAAGAAAGAAAGCTTCTGGAAACTATAATTTTTATACTTTTCCAGAGAAAAAATATCATATCTAAGCCAAAAATGTATTAATTTCAAATCGGAAAGCGTTCCTATGCTAGTTTTTCTTTGATTTATAAATCTGCATACTCCATTTAAAATGTTAAAAAATTCATATTTTTACCTTATATTTTTTTATTTTTATCCTCATAAAATTTGGAAAAAAAACTTAAAAAAAATTATTATCACCCAAACACGGCTAGATCGACTAGGATTTTGATACTGATCAAGAAGATATATGATTTATAGGGTCGGAAATGGCTCCTTCACCAAGAATACATAAATATGTCCATTGTAAGGACTTAAGATAAATAGTTTTGTATGATATTTTTGTGGGAAAAATCAGAATTTTTCAAACATCATAACTAAGCAAAAAAAGCTGTAATTTCAATTCTGAAAACGTTACTATGCCTGTTTTTATTAGATTAATAAATCTGCATACTCATTTTGAAATGTAAAAAAATTTATTTTTTTTACCATTTTTTTTTTAATTTTTATCCTCATAAAATTCGGAAAAATTAAAAAAAAAATATTTTCTTTAAAACATGCCTAGACAGATTCGCCTGTTGATCCTGATCAAGAATATATATGGTTTATAGGGTCGGAAATGAGTCCTTCACTGCGTTCCGTGCTTCGTATACCCTGTAAGGGTATTAAAGGTTGAAAAAAACAAAAAACTATTCTGAAATTATTTAATTTCTAAAAATAAACAATTACAATACAATTAAAATTCATTCTTTGCTTAAATACCTTTGGGAAATTCAACAAGAAAGCTTTTCCTTGAGAAACCCATCAATTATTTAAAAATTAAAATATTTAACTAATTAAAGTCCTACCACAAAAATTACGCTTTCCAAAAGGGAACGCCTTTTCAAAGCTTAAAGCTTCTATTAAACACAACAATTCAAATGCCAAAAAGCTCAAGCAATATAAAAACCCAACGAAATTGCATTTACCAACTGCAGCCTTCGGGCCAGGCTGAGAGTGGCTTATAAAAAGCCTTTACGATCCCCCAAATTAGCCAGATTATTCGGTTGAGTTGAGTGCAAAGCAATGTACGCGTTTTTATGTTTTTACTATTCTCGCCATTTAAGCAATAAAACAATTTTATTGTTTATGCACATTTTTCCATTATTTAGCCGCACGAAGAGTTATGCAACAGCGGAATATGGATTCATAAATATACATATATAATTTCATTAATTGCCGAACGGAAAACAATTCCCGGTATTGCAACTCAATTTTGGCAATTATTATTTAGATTTAAGGCCCAACTACCTTCTTAATTGAAACCAATCACTAAAGATGCAAAATTTATTATTATAGTCACTCAATAATTTGCTGAAAATCAACCAAAGTCGATAATCCATAAAATATATCTCGAAATTGATAACGACGTCATAAAGCGCTGAATACTGAAATTTGCATTTCCTTTCTTATACAAATTACCCTTTGACATTTGATAGAGTTATTAATAGAATATCTTCCAACGTAAAGTTTTAAAGAAAACAAATTTCGTATTCAAATTCAAGCGGAGCTTAAAGTGCAATAATATTTGATGGCCATGAAAATAAATTAATAATAATTAATGACGAAATCGTTCGCGTTGTGTTCTTCCCAAAAAATATACAAACTTTGACATTTGCCAAGGCATAAGACATGATATATATATTGTACATGGAATTTAAGTTAATTACCATTAACTTTAGGCCCTAGTTTTGTAGCTTAGTGCAAAGCGTGACAGAGAGAGAGGGACCTTTTCCTTATTGCTATATGCGGAAACCCCACAAATTGTGCGAAATGCGAATGCATTTTGTGAAATTTCCATACACAAGGATAACCTTCGGGTTTAGCCTTCTGATATGACAGTGTTCGCGGTCACTCGCAACTGGAGATATATACATATATACTTTATATAGTATATATATATTGCCCACACATCTCTGCTTACTTTCACTTTAGCCGCTCATATTAAATTTCTGAGCTGTAAAACATATATTTTTGCTCGTTTTTTGGTTGGTTTTTTCCTCCTTTATTTTATTTTAATTTTTTATATCGAATCGGGGGAATAGCGACACTTTTAGTGACTCTTATCGTTTGTATAGAACGCGACTGTGTCTCTCCCCCTGCCCCTGTCTCTCGGCATCTCTCCCCCATGTTAGCCCCTTGATTGACAATATTTCAATATTTTTACTTATGTCGCCGTTTCACAGCCTCCGGGGGCCAAAAGGAGGTGCGGCAATGAAGCGGGCAGAGACACAGACCCCAAGTCACTGTCACGC